AGTGAGGATTGCACCAGAACTCAAATTTGGGGCTGGTTAAAGCCTTGGTGATCACTGTGGGTGCAAAGGTGACTGTGACCCCACTCCCAGGCAAAGCCAGGGCTGTCATCCCGTGGATGTCACCACTGTCCCATCCCTGGGAGACTCATTCCCAATGCAGATTGCCAGGGACAGCATCCAGCTGTCCCCTGGATCTCACCTGGAGCTTTGCAAGCAGCACTTAGGGACCAACCCATCCCGGGAGAAGCTCTCCTTGATCCATCACCCAGTGCCACTGTGGGATCCTGGCAGACTGTGACATATCTGTCATTCCCACGGTGTGATGGGAACAAGGTGAGGATAAAAAAATTGCCACAAATCCCTCTCCTTTCTCTGCCATCATGAGAGCTTTGCCCTCCCAGCCAGGAATAGCCCCGAAATCTGAGTCTCTGCTGGGGAAAAACAAAGATTTGTGCACACAGGGCTTCAGGCTCTGGGAAACAGGAATTTCCAGTCTGAGCTGGGGAGTGACAGGAGAGGGGGGAATGGCTTCCTGCTGCCAGAGGGCAAGGTCGGTTGGGATAATGGGAAAGAATTCCTGGCTGTGAAGGTGGGGAGGCCCTGGAATGGATTTTCCAGAGAAGCTGTGGCTGCCCCTGGATCCCTGGCAGTGTCCAAGGCCAGGTTGGATGGGGCTTGGAGCAACCTGGGATAGTGGAAAATGTCCCTGCCCATGGCAGGGGTGGGGCTGGATTATCTTTAAGGCCTTTTCCAAACAAAACCATTCTGGGATTCTGTGATCCTAAATTATTGTTTTGTAAATTTTGTAAGAGTTGGCTGCAGGAAGAGACATGGACATAAAATTTCATCCCTGACAGGGAAATCCAACAGCAATATTTTATCCCTGGAAAATACAATTTGATTCATGCCTGCAGTGACACACCCTTAAAAATTATCTCAAACCAAGATGTGACCTGCTCCAGGCTGCCCACACAGATCAGGGATACCCAAGACTAAAGCAAACACCAAAAACGAGCTCAATTTATTGTTAAACCCAAGGATGGAGTTTCCAAGACAAGAAGTGTCTCCCCTGAATTTCTTGGCAGAGATCCCTACTCCTGCAGAAAGGCTTGGGAGCCAGATCTCTGTATTTTTTGGAAAGGCAGCAGCAGATATTCGATGAGCTCTATGAATAGAGTTGTTGATTCACTGCAAAATACAGGAAAAAACTGGGGAGAAAACAAGTCAAGTCAATTTAAACTGCTGACACATTCCTGGGTTGGGGAGGGAAATGTAAAAAGTGTTTTGAAGCATGGCAATCACTTGGTAACCCCCACAGCAGAATGAATTTCTGATTTGACACTAAGTATTATTCAGAATAAAATTACCAAGTGTGATTCGAGAACTAAAAAACCCCTTTTTGAAAAATTTCTGGAAAAAAACCCTTTTTGAAAAATTTCTGGAAATGGAAATATTGAGCAATGGTTTTCAATTAAGAAATGCAAATATAATCCATTCAATATCTCCTATTGAATTAAAATATTTAGATATTTTGAATGAAGAATTTATCCTTCCTCTCATGCCGGGGAAATGTAGAAAAGCAAAATGAAATCACAGATCAACTTTCCCCTCCAATTTTGCTGATAAATGTGGATGCCCAGAGGTTTGGCCAAAGAGATGCTTCAAATGCAAGAGAATTCAGGGAATTGAGTTCCTTTTGCAGTGTTCAGGAGGCTTTAAAAAAGCTGCATTTACAAGAAATTGTTCTGTTCATGGGGTTTTGTTGTGAGCTCAAAAATCAGCAGCATCAAAGGGACCAAAGCTCAGTGTTTGAGCTGGAATTCACAACTCCCCCCGGGGTCCCTGAGCAGGAGCTGTTGAGCTGTGATAACCCACCTCACTTTAAAAACTAGTTCTGCAGGGTGATTAATTTGCTCTGGAATTATTTATTGTCTAAATGTCAGCAAAAGATTTTGTGTTCTTTAAAAAAAAAATTCTTTTCAGTGACATTTCTTCAACTGAAAGACTTTGCAGGTGCTGCCAGCACAGTTACAAAGGCTTTGGGCTTTTCATCCAGCTCCTTTTAACACATTTTACCAAAAATTCCTCTTTTGGTACCTTCCATGTTTGTGAGCAAAGAACAGAGCTGAGGGGCTTGAATTTTTAACTTTGGCTTTCTCTTATTTTTCCCTTTAAATGTGAACTTGTTACATTTCTGTCATTTGGGACATAATTAAAACAGCTTTCTTGTGTATATTCTTGGAATTGTTACAGCAGGTTCTCCACCTCAGTGTCACCATCTCCAGGAATATTCCTAAATGTGCTCCAGGTGAGTCCCAGAGTCAGAAGAGAAAGGAATCTTCCCCATCCTGTTGGGTGTTCATGCCCACGTTACAGTATCATTAATTATTCTGCTCTGCACTAATTAGATCCTGTCTGAGGTCAGTATTTAATGAAAGGCCACCAGGCAGCAGAAAAAAAAAAATTCATAAATACATAAAGTCTCATTGAGCACTGAAGCCATAGGTGGGAAGATCCACTCTGAGGTGTGAAATTTCTCCTCTTTTCCTCCTCCTTTAACTCCTCATGGATCCCTGAACAGAAATCAGGGATATTTCCCTGCTAATCCCACACAAAGGAGAAAAAGCCCCACGAGCACAGCACCATCTCCTCTGTGCAGCTCCAGGGGAGCTGTGCTCCATGAAATCCTCAGGGAACACGTCCTGGCTGGCAGCACTGCTGGTGGCCCAGCTTTTTTCCCTGTTTTTTTTTTTTTTTTTTTATGGATAATGATCTCCTGAGCAGCAAAACCAGTCGGGGCAGACGCTGCCCAGTCACCTGAGAGGGCTCCAGGGAGGTTGTTTGCACAGAGCTGTGGCAGTGGGCCATGAAAGGAGGTTAAATACGTTTTATTGAGCTTAGATTTGGCACCTCCCAACCTCAGCAGGTTTATTTCCCTTCTCTTTGTATCCTGGGATGCTGCAAAGAATTTCAGTGCTTCCCATGAGGTTGCTCTTGAAGCCACGCAGAAAATGTGGGGTTGGATGTGAGATGCAAGGGGTTTTCACAATGGTCTGGAAGATGTGGATTCCTTTTTTTTAATGAAAACTAAATAAATGTAAACTTCCATTCATCAAAATTTGAATGAAAAAGGAATATTCATTTAGGCCTCACAAAGGGAAAATAAAGGAGGAAGAGGGCAGGAGCAGAGACCACTCAATTTGGCTCTCAGAGCTCTCATAGGGATGGACATTCCTGGTGTTGGGGTCTTCCAGGTCAACAGCAAATATGAATTTATCAGCCTGAAAATTAGGTTTTCTGCATTCCTAAGAATCTAACTCAATCAACACACTGAGAAGTCATTGCATTTCTGCTCTTCCTTAGCTTTGGGCTCCCTGCTGCAAAGAAATAACTCTCCACACTCAAGAGGTTATTGAGAAATTGTTTTATTAAAGCTCAGCCAGAAGATGACAATAAATGTAATGGTGGCTGAGAGCACTGGGATGAGCTGCCAGGAACTGCCAGGACACAGAGGGACCTTCCACAAAGGGTCCCAAAAAACTTAAGCAGGCCCCAGGCTTCAATTTGAGAGGTTTTGGGAAATTCAGGTGGTGATATGGGGACCAGAAAAAAGGGCCACTCTAAGTTTCCAGCATTTCCAGCACATGTAGGATATTGGCTGGTTTGGCAATGTGCAGGTTGAAGTAAAAGCCTGCAGATTCCCCAAAAAAATTGTGCAAATCCCCTCCTGGTGTCAGAGCATGGGATGACCCAGCCCAAATCTGACCCACTGCCTGAAAAACCAGCAACGACCAAAATGCAACATGAAGCACCAAATAACCCCAAGGGAGCAGAAACTGGAGGAAGTGGGGAGAATAAGGACTGGAGTGTGGTGGAGGAGCCTTCACGCTGCTCCTTGGTGGCACTGAGCCATTGACACCCCCCACATGTAACCCCAGATGTGCCAAAAATTTCAAGAGGCTTTTTGCCCTCTCTCCTTGAAACAGTAACAAAACCAAGAAATGTTACAGTTCTGAAGTCAGGTTTTGGAGTGTTAAAAGTGCTTTTCTTGGCTAGGTGTTGAGTGGAGGTGCATGGTCCCCATGATGCCACCAAGTTGTGCAAGGTTCCTGTGCCACCAGGAAAGGTGCTGGTGGTCCCTATGCCACCATGCAAAGTGTTCTTGGTTCCTATGCCACCAAACAAGGTCCCTGTGCCATCGAGCAAGGTGTGCATGGTCCTTACATTATTCTACAAGGTGTGCATTGTCCTTATATAAATGCACAAGGTGTGCCTGGTCCCTGTGCTCCACACAAGGTGTGCAGGGTCCCTGTGCCATCAGGAAAGGTGCTAGAGGTCCTTGTGCCACCTTGCAAGAGGTTCCAGGTCCTCGTGCTTCCAGGTGAGGTGTGAATGGTTATTCCATCACTGTGCAAGGTGCAACTGGTCCCTGTGCTGCCATCCAAGGTGTGCATGGTCCGTGTTCCATCAGGGAAGGTTTGTGTGATCCCATGTGAGGTGTGCATGGTCTCTGCACCCCTGAGCAGGTTGTGCATGGTCTCTGGCCCTTTCAGCACGGTCCTCACACCATCGTGCAATGTGTCCACATCTCCTGCCCTGGAGGAGAACAGGAATGGGGCTGCAGGCAGCCTCACTGCTGAGTTATAGCTGTGTCCTTCAACAAGCCAGGTAAACAACTTTGCGGGAGAAGAAGCACGGAATGCGGATGGGTGTTGACATTTATGACAAGAAACAAAAAATTTATGGCCAATTAAAAAATAGTAGAAGGCGCGTGCACATAGCTTGTTAACCAACTATAATGCAGAAAGGAGCACGTGTTACGATATAGAGAAAAAGTATAAAAAGTTGTACTGCGGGATAAAAAAACTGCTGATGCCCGCCACATCTCCAGCGTCAGTCTTTTGCCCCGCTGTCCAAGGAGCACAGGACAGGTCCCTCCCACCAGACACGGTTTCTCCAGCACGGCGTGAATCCCCGAGCGCTGCCGCAATCCCCGCGGCTCAGCGCAGGCCCCGGCCGGGGCAGGGCAGGCAGGGGCAGCAGGAGCAGAGCCCGAGAGCCGCTGTCAGCAGGGCCGAGCGCCGCGACGGCCGCTGGTATTTGGCGGCTCTCTTCACCCCTCCGCCCGTCTGTGCCGCGTAGTCCAGGGAGCGCAGGACGTGCTGCTCCACGCTGTCGGCAGCGCCGTGCTGCTGGGCCAGCAGCCCCTCCAGCTGCACGAACAGCCCGCGCAGCTCCAGCATCTGCGCCTCCAGCTCCAGCAGCTGCCGCTGGCGAGCCTGGGCCAGCCCCAGGTGATGCTTGGCCTTCAGCTCGTCCAGGTCGCGGCCCACGATGCGAGGCCCCTGCGGGCTCTCGGCCAGCAGATCCACGTCCTGGGCTGCCAGGGTGATGCCCGCCAGCTCCGCCTGCCTCTGGATCTGCTCCTTCAGCCGCTGCCGGTAGCGGCTCTCCCGGGCGTAGTGGCGGGCGAGGACGGCTCCGTAGCGGCGCAGCAGCAGCCACAGCTGGGTCTGGCGGACGCGGGGCCCCGCTCGCCCCGAGCCCCCGGCCGGGGCCGCCGGCAGCGCTCCCAGCTGGGGCTGCAGGGCCGCGGCCTGGCGGGCGAAGGCGGCCCGGGCCGCGCCGAGCCCGCTCTTGTGGCGGGCCATGCTCTCCTCCGACGTGCAGCACAGCACCGACTGCTGCGTCCTGTCGATGCTCTCCGAGAGCTGCTCCAGCCGCTCCAGCGCCCGCCACAGCTCGGCCGCCTCCCGCAGCGCCCGGCCCACGGGGCTGGCGTCGTCGCCGACGAACGCGGGGTTGTCGAAGCGCACGGAGTCGTCGTGCGGGTCCCCCTCGGCCGCCGCTCGCTGCTGCAGCTCCGCCAGCCGGTCCCTCATGCTCCAAGGGGCTCCGGCACCGTCTGAGGGGACGTGTGAGCTCCTGAGGGAGAGCTGCGAGCTTTCCCTCCTGGCACCAGAGCAAATATTGATGGAGCAGGGCAGGGGCTGCGTCAGCCCCGGGCCGGGCCCGGGCAGAGCGGGAGGAAGGCCCGGGCCGGGAGCGCTGCCAGCACCGCCCGCACCTGCGTCACGGGCCCCACACCTGAAACGCCGAGGCTCGGCACAAAGACGCTTTTATTCACCCACAGACAAGGACACACAAAAGTCCCGTCAGGCCCACCCGGCACCCCCGGCCTTCGAAACGGCTCCGAACTGCCACCGGCCTCACAATGCAGCCAAATCCAGCTTCTGGTTGTACCGAATGAAGGGCAAATGACACAGTGACTGACTTTGTCAAGCTGGGAGAGACCCACAGGGATCACGGAGCCCAGCCCAGTCCTGCATCCCCCAAAATCCCACCCCGGGCCTCTCCCTGCTGTGCAAACACTCCTGGGGCCCAAGCAGCTGTCCTGGAGTAAACTGGAAAGGTGGGATGGAGGCAAAGCTTGGCCTCTCCCTGCTGTGCAAACACTCCTGGGGCTCAGAGCATCCCATCCTGCTGGGAATGGAAAGGTGGGATGGAGGCAAAGCTTGGCCTCTCCCTGCTGTGCGGGTCAGGAAGGCTCCGGGGCCCCAAAGTGCCTGGAGCATCACAAGGGTGAATTCAAAAAAGTGCTCTTGGGGTTTTCCAGGCTGGAAATGAGCGTTGGGATGACCCAGCTGTCCCACACATCACTGCAAGGCAGTGTTGAGTCCATCCACTCGCTGCTGAAATGCATAAAAATCACAGCTGAATTGAAAGACATCTATAAAAAATTAATTTCCGAAGTGCACAGGGAAAAATAGTTGTTCTCTACCACTCTGGTATTTTATATAATGTATAACATGCATTGCATATTATGTATTTTATAACATGTATTATCACATATGATGTAAACACGATGATATTGAGTATATTAACAGCTATGATATAATATCAAATCAATATGATATCAATATGAAACAGATGCACAGCCAAGGGAGGTTTAGCAAAGGTCAAACAGCTCTGAAGGGAGTGGAATTCCTTCCCTCCAATGCCATCTGATGGATTTACACAAAGGGGGGCTCCAGCATATATGCAAAACAAGTTTAATTTTGTTCTCTGTAACCATCAAGGCCAAGAAAAAAACAAAAGCCCTTTTTTCCCTGGGGTTTGGAGGATGAGTGTTGTGTTAAAAAGGAGATATTCATTCCCATCAGAGAGGAAATGCCACTGAAATCAGTGCAATAAAGTGAAATGTCAAGTAAGTCAGCAGATTAATGAGGGGAAAAGTCAAAATAGAATGACAGAATCCCAGAATCCCGAGCCCAACCTGTGCCTGACCCCACCTTGTCCCCAGCCCAGAGCACTGAGTGCCACCTCCAGTCCTTCCTTGGGCACCTCCATGGGTGAGGACTCCAAACCTCCCTGGGCAGCCCCTTCCAATGCCTGGCCACTCTTTTCAGGAAGAAATTCCTGCTGATTTTATTCCATATATTTATTGTCAGCACCTGCCCTGGCTGCTCTACACAAACCCAGCCCCCATCCACCTCAAAAATCCATTTAATAACACAGGAGTAAATCCTTATTTCCCATGAAATATCCGTGTGGGAACAGTCCAACCTTCCCCTGGAGCTGAGTCACCCCCTGAACCCACCCCTGTCCCACAGTGGCCAAGGGACCTTGCCCAGAGCCTCCTCCCCTGCTCCTTTCATGGCTTTTTTTCTTTTCTCCTTCTTTTACCAAGAAATCATTTGCTGCTCCTTTCCTTTTTCCCAGAAAAATGGCATTTTGGAGCCAGAGCAGATGGTGATTGGGTGAGGGTCTCCATCCCATCCTGCTCAAGACCTTCAAAGTGTATGAAAGCTTCTCTATCCATTTATAAATAACATTTCTATATCCACTTTATAAAACTTACAATTAAAACTATAAAATTATCTAGTTGCATCAAAAAGCAAGGTTTTTTACATTAAAACCTCAATTTTACCTAGTTTTTCCCTTTTAATATCTCAACTACTCAAGAAGCAATCCAAAACCAAAGTAATTCTCTTTTTATTTTTTTTTATTAAGACAATCCCACAGCTGGAAAATGAAACATCCTAGATTACATCAGTGACTTCAAAAAAACTCTAGAAAAAAATCTTTACAAATTTACATTTGTACAATACAAAAAACTAACAGCTCATTGCATATAAATATTACATTTGGTCTGCCAACATGTGGCATCAAAATCCCTGAAGTATTCATTAAAGGGACCTGAGATAGCGGATGTGAAGATATGGGCATAAATATCACCTGAAAAAAAAAAAATAAAATAGAAAGTAGACATAATTCTAATAGTTTTGTGCATTTTTGGAGTATTTTAAATCCCGAACACGACCTGGAGAGCCTAAATCAAGTGAATTTTGCTCCGACATCAAGTGGTATTTCTACATGAAATCTGCTCTAATGACTCATGGAGGAATGAAGAGCCTGAATTAATATTTCTACAGAAAAATAATCCTCAGACGTTGAGTTCTGAACACACCCAAGCAGCCACCACTCTCTGAGGAAGAATTTTAGGAAGAGAAATAGCAGATTTGGATTTTACCTGTGAATATTCTGGCAGGATTTCACCCCCCACCCTCCCCAAACAGCTCCTCACAGACCCTAAACCCAGGAAGATCTGCAGTGCTTGCCAATGAAAAACCCCAAACTGAGGAACTGCTCCTAATTTCCCACTGATGGAATTATTTCCCTACTATTTACACGTTTTGCCAGCTCCCCAGCGTGGCTGCAGTTACTACCAGGAGCAGTAACTCCAAGTGCTTGGTTTGCCTCGGAAATCTCACAGACTCGGATCAGGTACCCACATCCACGCACAAAAATGTATTTCAGCACCATTTTTAGAACACTAGAGTTAAGGCTGTGACAGCAATTCCCACTGGAAATTTAAATTTTTCAGGGATTCGTAGCACAGTTGTGTGAGTTCGCTGTGGGCCGAACACGACGTAATAAAAATGTACAAGCTTCCAACAGATCTTTGCATTTCTAAGACTAAAAAAAGACGAGTTTTTAGACTAAATTTTGCAGGCTGTTACTTACTGTACATAAAGGAGTTTTTTTTTACCATGTGTAAACCTCGGATATATTGAAGAGTTGAAAAGTCTCTGTCGCTCATGCGCAGGGATTTGCTATAATACATATTGTAAGAACACAACAACAGCTCCCTACCTATTAAATATAGAGTTAGCCTTTGGAGGGTTAACTGCTCCTTCAGGAAATCATCAGCATTTTATAAAACTCTGCAGGATGGTTTTTAAATAAAAAGATAAAATTAAGACATGTAAACACACAAAGACAATTTTAACCCATGAAATCCATGATGGGATGCTCCAGATCAGGACACAACATTCTTAAACCTACAGCTGTTCACTTTTCCCTGGTGTTCATCACTCAAAGATGGAATGAATCAAGTTTTTATCAAAAATTAATTTAAACTGATTTTCTCATGTTAATATTCTGTGATTTGGAGCATAGAGACATTCCCGAGACACCCGAGAACAGCTTTTCCAAATGCTAGGCAAGGATCATCTTGTTTTTGGGAGTCAAGAGAATCTCCAAATATTTCATTTTTTAAAAAATTAATTAAATACTCTCTGCCACACCCCTGGTGCCAGCTCTTTTCCATGCTCTCTGAACTACTCAGTCCCTCTGCTCCCACACAGGAGGAGCAGCTGAAATGGACATTGAGGAAAACATTCCAGGAAAGTGAAACTATGCAAACAGGACACAGGATTTGAAGCAGGCAAAAATCCTCCAGTAATTATTTCTCCACAATTCTTTCTAGTTTTTGTGTCTGCAGGGTGGGGGTGGTTGGGATTAGGGGGTGGCTTCTGCTTGGCTGATGGAGAAAGGAGTGATGGAAAGAGGAAGGAGGGTTAAAACTGCTCAAATCCATCCAAGTTCAAGCACCAACAGAAAGGTTTAACCTAACAGCCTGGCAGGCCAGCAGAAATAAAATTCATCACAATATCCAAAGTTTCCAAGAGAATAAATAAATAGCCTATAAAAGGAAACTATAGGACAGAGGTGGGGCATGGCAAAGAGGAAAAGATGGAGAAAATAAAAAGCAGATGAAATTTGGGCTGAATCATGGAATTACTAAGGTTGGAAAAGGCTCCAAGATCTTCAACCTTCAACCAAATCCCACCAAGGGCCACACGTGCTCAGTTCTTGGATGGTGACTCTGCCACCTCCCTGGGCAGCCTCTTCCAATGTCTGACCACTCTTTCCATGAAAAAATTTTCCCTGGTATCCAAGACAACAACACCTCACTACTGCCAAATAAGCCTTGTCATCCATGCCCTGGTCTGGGGAGCAAGGGGAGCACTGCAGGGACAGTGGATTGGGGCTGGGAGCAGCTGAGATCAAAGCCATGAAGGATTTCAGCCCTGGCTCTGTGCAGGATGGAGTGTGGGACTGACACCTTTCCCAAGGTGTCCCCAAGGGCCCTGAGGTGCCCCAGCAACTCAGGATTGGGATCTGCCAGTGGCACATCTCAAGGAAACAGAGGCACCAATGCCCAAACATCTACAGGAACCAAGGAACCCCTGGCCTGCCTGCTCACCCTCAGGAATCCCAAAATCAGACCTCAAATCCCATTCCTTAGGCAGAGTCTGGAGTTTTCTGTTGAGAGTGCAAGGAAAGACAGCACAGACATTCCTGACTCTGCAGCCTGCCCCAAGCTCAGCAGGGTCTGGAGCAGGGAGACTTTTGGATGGTTTAAATCACTTTAAATCCTGCTTCTGCTGCACCTGGTGGGCTCATCCTAAGGTCACCACACACATAAGCAGCTCCTGATAGGATCTGGGATTTGAGAGCATTCAAGTTCCTACAAAAGGGTAATTATTCCACAGAACTATGAGAAATCAACTGCCCAACTCAGAGAAAGAATCCAGACACAAATCCAAGCAAAAAGAACAGCTCTAGACCCAAGTAATTTGGCATGCTTATAAAAGGTTCTCATGCACAAAAAAAAAAAAAAAAAAAAAGCTCTTTTTTCAATTTTTACACTAAATTTTGCTGTCCCAGCACCCCCTGCTCTAGCTCAAAGTCATGGGACACAGTAATACTTACGCCACAGCAAAGTGATGCTTCACTGGTATCTTCACAGTACAGAGAAAAGATACAGTTAAGAACATATTTAATCTTACTCTAATTGCTGCTAAAATACACCAACTTATAAAATGATTTCTCTGGAATCCCTGTGGTTCCTCTCTCCCCGACCCCAACACAAAATAAATAAGGAATAAGTGGATTTTCGGCCAGTCAGAAATAGAGGAAAAAAAAAAGCATTTCTTTTGCATTTCAAGCTTTTCAGGCTTTAGGACAGAACCCATAGTGTTTACATTAGCTCACAGGACTGATCTAAGGGATATGATTCCAACTATGGACTGATGCATACATGCTATTCCTGGTTACCATATGTAAAAAGACCAATCAGTCAAACAAATAATACATTTCTTATAAATATAAATGCGTGTATATATATACAGATATATGAGAGAGATGATAGGACAGGTGTTTATACTTTAAAGCCCAACACAGAACTAGGAGAGCCTCTGTACTTGGTTTTTTTTCCCCACCCCCCCATCAAAAACCAAATCAAGTCCAGCAATGGATTACGGCTGATTTCAAACATTCCTTACAAAATTAAAAGTGTGGTTTTTGTACTGTACCATAAACTCATATTAATGAGCAATTTAGGATATACTCTCCTCCATCACAAAACTAAACCTCTGCTTTTTTAATTTTCAAGTCATTTTTGCATCTAACTAGGATTTTTTTTTTTTTGAAAGCGAGATAAAATAGCTAGTGCTTAATATAGAAAGTCAAAAATTAAATTCCTTCTGCATCTGAGAATATACATGGGTCACTCTTTGCTGCCTGAGGTTTTCCAGAATTATTGACCAAGCTGTGCACAGAAGAACTTCAGGATATTGGATGAAAGCTTAAAAAAAACCCTAAAAACCTTGAAAAACTCCACTGGAACTTTGTAGTCTCTTCTGACTTGTTCTCTCTGTGACCTGACTCTGAACTGTCAGACAAGGGGAGGAAATTGGAATCCCACATCCATTCCAGCCAGAGCCCAGGAAGGAAGGAAGAGGCTGCTCACCTCCAGCTCAGCCCACGCCACCGCCAAGGTCACCCAGGAGCCAGCAGGGATCTCCTCACCACTGCACTACCACTGCCACAGGGTCTCAAGTCAGCATTTCCCAGGACAACAAGAGCACAGTGCAACAGGAATTCTCTTCTGGAAGCTTGAGACACAAGAGTCAGTCTGGGGTGGGGAGGGGGGACAGCTCCCTCAGCACCTCTGAGGGGTCAGTGGGTGCAGGCAGCCCCTCTGCACAAAACCCAAACCTGCCCCAAACATCTGCTGCTGAGAACTCTGAGAGCCACTGCATTTGTTTTGTGGTGGCAACACAGGGAAGATACAGCTGCTCACAACTTCCACCCCTCTACTCCTTCTCGCCTCTTCTTCACCATGCTCTGAATAACAGCATCTATTTTCTTTTCAGATTCCAGTAGTTGTAAATAAGAGGTAGCTGAGCTACTATTAAAAATCATGCTTTGAAGAGGAGGAACCTTTCAAATGTTGAAGTCACCCCTTTAGCTGCACAATCTCGATTAATACTATAAAAATATGAGAGGACAAAAAGAAAATAGATGCAAGTAACTTTTGCATTTGGCACCTTTTGTCTAGATATTCATACTTCTCAAGTATTCTCTTTTTAATAAAGTTAATGCACACATAGGACACACCACATCAAAGGTTTGCTACATATTTACAAGGCACCAACCCTTTGTCACTGTTTTTACACGAATAAAGAACCGATAGAAAGCACATCAGGACCCCCAAAACTGTAGTATGGACATACTTCAGTTCAGCACAATTTCATCAACGTTTGGCCTGGGAAGATTAAAATAATCCAGATCCTTCTTACAATATAGAAACTGTAAACATTTTATAGCTGCCTTTAGGATTGGTGTATTGTGCAAAAGTTATAATTATTACTGTGTCTAAGGATTTATGGCAGAAACCACATAAAAACTCTGGAAGAAGGTGCTATTTCTATAATACAAAAACAAAACGAGGGAGAGAAGTCATAAGCGTGACTCGAAAATGTCATGTTCTTACTGAGAAGCTGGAAGCCTCTGTAATGTGATGAACTCGTAGTGTGTGGGGAAGAATTTCTGTAATTTAAGGCCTAATGACTAAGGCTTGTTTTGACCAATGAAATGGGGAGATCTGAAGCTTTAAAACAAACACAAACTGACAGGATGGAAAAGCACCACTGTGAAACGTGAGTGGAGTCCCCGCACAACTTGCTTGGTAGAATTTCTGGTAAAATCCCTGCAGTAGAAGGCCATTGAAGTTCTTTTAAAATTGTTCCAAAAGTTTTCCATCTGTCAATAATTCCATCCCATGAGATGGCTGACCCTGGCTTTTTCTGTCATTTTCCGCACCCTGCCTGACCTGGAAGTACCAAGGTTCAAAGGATCCTCGGTGTGCACAAAATTGTCATTGTCGGAGTCGTCGTTGTACAGGACAGTTCTCCTGCCCTCGTTCCTGGTTTTGATCCGGGGGGGTCGGCTGAATCTCCCTCCAAACACGTTCTCCCCAAACTGTCCCCCAAAGAGGTTTTCGAACTCATCGTCGGCGAGCCGGGCGCGTTTCGCTCTGGTGGCTCCTCGCGAGGCCCCTCGGCCTCCTCGGCCTCTCCTGCCTCCCCGGCCGCCGCCTCGTCCTCTGCCGCAGCCTCTTCCTCCTCTGCCCCCTCTTCCCCCTCTGCTCCACCTGCCCCACCTGCCCCATCTGCCCCTCCTCCCTGTCCCTCGGCCCTGCCAATTCCGTTTGCCCGCAGGGAGTTTCCGTTTGATTTTCCGTTTGGGTTTTTTGGATTGCACAACTTTGCTGTAGTCGTGGTCGCCGTCGATGTAATCCTGGTCTGTTCTGGAGGTTGATTCCGAGTCGGAATCTGAGCCACTTCTGCTTTCAGAGCTGGAGCTGGATCCTGATTCTCCACTTTCTGATGAAGACAAACCAGATTTTTCCTTTAATTCTCTCTTCTTTTCCTCCTCCTCCTCCTCCTCCTCTGCCTCCTCCAGGTGCTCGTCCTCTTCTGAGGCGCTCAGCAGCTTCCTCTTGACTCCTGCCCGGGGTTCTCTGCCATCCCCATTGGTCAGTGGCCCATCAGGAGAGTGATCTAAGCAAAAACAAAACAACCCCATCAGCATCACACCACAGCCAAACAGGACACAAAAAGTGGGACTGGCTGCAGCTGCCTTTGGAATTCTCCTCAGCTGCCTCTGAGGTGTGCTCAGGGATGATCCACTGGGAGCTACTCACCCTTTATGTGCTGTGGACACAAGTAGGTGCTCTAAGGGGAAAATCTATCAAAGTAAACACATTTTTTTACCTAGAAGCAATGACTGCAAACTCCTGAGCAAGAGTTCAGTGAAGATCCAAGCACAAAAAGGAGCCTGGAGTGACCAGGTTGGACACAAACATCTAAAACCCAGGTGAATCCTACCTGGGATGCCAAGGCAGGAAAATTCTAAAATTCTTTCCAAAACTATATATACACAAAAATAACATTCTGCAAGCAGCATTTATTCCCTATCAAATGCATGCTCTCAAAAGGCTCAGTCCAGGGAATATTAATGGAAAGCATAACTCAAGAGAGTCGATGACCCAAGAAAGCTCACTAGTATTGCTGAACACCTTCAATGAGAATTAAACAAAGTATCTTGCTGGCTTGGGACCCAAAATCCTCCATGTTTTCAGGGTTATGAATGTGACAATGAAGGTTAAATATCTTCTTTAAGATAGGACAGGAAAAGCTCACCTGCATCCAGCACTGCTACAGCACAGGACTGTGGCTATGGGAAAGGCTCCAGGAAATGCCCATGTAGTGCCCACCTTGGTGGAAACTCTGAGTAACTCATCCCTGAGATTACCACTGAACTGTTTCCCTTCTAATCACAACTACTTTGTTTTGCATGTGAGAAAAATAATTCATTGTTTTTGTAAACTTTTCTTCATCTTTGGTTTCAGCTTGATTAATAAAAGGTGAAGGTTTTGCAGTGGAGATTCTCTTGGTTTGTTTGTTTTCTGTAACTCCTGAAGGAACTGTAGGAGTTTAAGAGCAGTCAAGTTTTCCATCTGGAGAGATTTTAAATTACTTCACTGAAGTGCACATGGAATCATCTGCATTCCACACCTCAGACAGGACAGCCAGAGTAAAGTAAATTCAATTTTTGGTACGGTTTAGGAATATATACAATGCTACACTGAGGCAATAATTTCATAAACATCAGACAGAAGCAAGATCTTTCATCTCTAGTGAAACTAGTCAGTCAAAGCACAGAATCTCATTATTTCTCACCTTGCTTCACTGGTGTAGATTTGTTCCTGACTGGTCTGCTTTTCCCTGGATCTATGGCATTTCCACTCCGGCTCTGTGCATTTGAGCCTGATGAAGATGGTTGACCCTCCAGCTCTTCACCAGTGGCTGAACCCAGAGGTTCTTCTGCTGTATCTGAAACTTCAGACAGGACACCACAAGGGGACAGGGTGATTTTTATGCTCTATTTACAGGGCTGTGTGTGGGGAGGTTCTGTATGCCCTGAGTTAACAGCCCAAGTCATGGTAATCTCACCAAGCTGCTCTGCAGCCATGGAAAGACAGATTCCTCCTGAATGTAACCTCAAGATGGATTAATTTAATTAATTAATCCATCAGTGCTATAGAAGAGAGGCCCATACACAGGAAGTCTGGGCTTTTGTCACTGGAATAATTCTTATCATGGCCAGACTGAGGTTCCCAATTCCCTGATCCTTACCCAGAACTTCCCAAAAGCCAAACTCAGCTAACACAACCTACAGACAACACATTTCCAGGACCTTGCTCCTTCACCAGGTGGGTTTTGTATCAAGTGCCTCATGAGGACAAGACTCAACCTGACAGACAAGCTGCAAGAGAAAGGCTGGATTTCTCCTCACCATGAGATGAGACTGAAGAGTTAGTCCTGGTCAGGGGCAGTGAGGTATTTTGGTTGGGTTTGGGTTGAATCTTCATTTGCTTCTGTTTCCCTTTTGGGCTGCAAACACAGAATACCCCAAAGAGAGAAATCTGTTATCACCAAAGACTCAAATACAAAAGTGATTTCTCCTGCAAAGTGATCTTTTTTTCCCAAGTGTGATAACACTAAAAATAGTTACACCACGGTGCTGTTTGCTAAAGGTAAAGGAGTTTGCAGGGACAAGATTTTATCTCCCCTTTTAAAACCAACAGTCAGTTCACTTAGATAATGTATCAGATGAAGGTAGGGAAATGTTACACAACACTTTTTTCAACAGTTAAAAGTCACAGAGAGTTGATCTTTCATTTCCTCCAGAGCGAACACTTGTAACCACATCATCTTTCACTTACCAGAATTACAAACTACAAACTGAGCATGATTTTAAGTCCAAAAAGAACGAGGGAAATGAGCAAGACTGCTGCTGGTTATTCCAAAAGGATAACTACCCCTGTCCTGTGGAATGGCACTGGCAGCCAGGCTCACCATCCCTGTTTTACCTGGATGCTCTGCTGGTTGAGGGGGAGCTGCTGCTGCTCCTCAGCCGTTTTCGGTACCGAGGCCTTCTCCTCTTCTGACATTGCATTGCTGACTTGTACTCAGAGATGATGTTTTTCATGTGATTCTCAAATAAGGCAGAGAGTCGAAGGGTCATGCTGTAAATCTGCAGTGAGGGAAAATGGTCAGGCTTATTCGAGTTGAATAACTTGAAGATCAACCAAAAAAACATCACAAAGATGTCCAGACTTTGTACAACAAAGGAAAAATTCATAGTGATGTTCCACTATGAGGCTCTTTACAGATTATTTCCTTCCATGGGCCTTGTGTATCTTTGCAATAGAAAGTGTTTTCATAAAAGGATTTGGTAACAGTACAAAATATTTCCAGAGTTGAAGGAAAATGGATTTCTGGATTACTGGAATACAGTCCCCTTCATCAATCCCCATGAAGTATAGTAGCAGGTCTTAAGATAACTTGAATACCAAGGGAAAACAATTGGATTTCATGTCTCCTCACCTTTGTTTTTGCACTAAATCCCTGGTGAACTGTCCTTACATCACCCTTACAGAGCTACAGAGAAGTAACCCAAAATGTCCTCAGTCCAAATTTCTGTAAACCAGACGTTAAAATCTTTAAATAACTTTCCTGTCCTCTTTCTAGGCCTTGCTTTTGTGCAGCCTCATCCACAATATGTGCAGTTACCAAGCTGATAGCCTTGTTTACAGGGATAAATTATTGAAAAAAATAAAAGCAACTGGTGACCAGTCTTCTGTTACAAATTTTGCAAGGAACAGCTGCAACAGTGACCATCATCCCAGATGAAAATGGATCTTAGAATCATCTGGGAGAGCAGAACAAAGCAGCTTTATAAGCATAGAATTCGTGTATCCTGGTTATTTTTATAACACCAAGCAGTGCTTTGCTCTTCAGACCTCATTTCGTGTGTTTTATTCACGTAGGGCCAACAGGCATTAAAATTTATTACTTACACGAGACTTTTTATTAGGAGTGTAAGCTTTAGAGTTGCAGAATATTAAACGAATATCTTTGTAAAATTCCAAGGGACTGGTGTAGTTTCCTGCTTCCAAGGTTTCTTTCACAGTGCTGAAGTCCATGGGAGTGTCTACAATATCTCGATAATCCTGTGAGAACACACAAGAGAAAAATCAAATCCTACAGCAGTAACATCACCTCAGTGCCCATCCAGTGGCTCAAGTCATTCTTTTACTTTAAGAGTTGTTGTGGATAATCCCCTGAAAACATCAGCTCATAAAGGGAGAGGACAGAGCCATGCCCAGCGTGGATGTTCTGCCAAAGGAGGAACAATTCTGGATGTGGAAGCTGCACTTACAGGGTAAGAGAAGAGATCAACAGGCTGCCTGAAAGGCTCTGAGTCCTCTCGTTCATAAATCAGGTTTAAGAGCTGCTGGCACTGCTCCTTCCAAGCATCAGCACTGGCTTTCATGGGCTGCCTCTTCACTCTTCGTCTCACCTGCAGGGAAACAGGTATTGCACATGGTATCAGAATATTCACATTGCTCCCTTGAAGTTCCTACTAATTCCCAGCACTCTGATTCAAAGCATTCCCCAATTAAAAACAGAAATCCAGAAAGATTAAAGCACAGTTGATAGCACAGCAATATGCAAATTAGACAAATTAAACAAATTGGCCTTTTCTGGTCTCATATAACACTCAAACCCATGAGAAGCTGCAATATTTCAGCTCCAGCCTTGCTATATTTATCAGTTGCATCGAAATTTGACTGCTGGAGATTTTTTTTTTTTTAATCAAATTTAAAAAAACCAAAATGACCAAAGCAGAAATTTTACTCACTCGTCTTTTCCCAGAGGAAGTGCCTGGAGCGTCTGAATCCACATCTACTTCTGCCACCTAAAGGCAAAGGGAATGATCACACACAGACAGGTCTGGATAACCCTCAGCCATGGAAAAAGGGTTAAAAACCAGCCAACAACAACCACAGGGCACTTGCAACAGGAACTACAGAACATTTCAAACTGCACTGAAGGGGAGAAGGTGTCAGGAGAAGGAAGCAGCTCAAGGCAGTGATATCCACCATGGATTCTACCTGACATTTCACTCCAGGGATCAACTGATAGGAAATGACACAGAATTACATAAGGAAATCAGCTTTGCTGCCTCAGTGACAATGGAGAGCTGTTGTCCCTCTGACTAACAGCTGCACTTCCCAGCTCCCCTCATTACTCATCCTTCCAACAAAACATCATGTACTGAGAGAAGATTAAAGACAGGCAATTCCAAGAAGCATTTTTACTTCAAGGAGCTTATTGTCTCAGGTGAGCCTAAACAGCTTCATCTCCAAAACTCAGTGCAATTACCCATAAAATAAAGACTCAACAAAAATCAAAATTTCTTTCATGTGCTGAATTTTAAAAGGGAAGGAAATGATCTTACCTCCTCTTCCTCATCAGTACTGCTCAGATCTTCTGCTTTCACCTTGTTGTAGATTTCTAATATATCAGTACAGCTCTGATCTCTGCAGGACAATGACAAAAACCAAGGTAGAAAATGAAGGATCCCAGGAGTTGGAGCTGTGGGGTCTGTGAGGTCCAAACTCACCCAATGAAGCGGAGCAGGACATCTGTCACAATTTTGGCTGCTTTGACTATGGGGCTGTCTGGCTCGTTGAATGTCCTGGCATTGTGTTCAATGTATCTTACCTCCCACATCAGGGCAGAGATTCTCCTGAAAAATACACAAAATTAAAGGAATGGGATTGAGAAGAAGGTGTATGTTATTTTTTTTTCCATGTTCAGTAGGATTATTTGGTTAAAAATGGAATTGGGAATTCAGATCAAGCAGAAGCAGGTGGTCCTCAGAGGGAAAAATAAGAAAAGGACATTATTTATTCCCAAATTAACTGGCAAAACTGAGATTTCCAATTATCAGCATTATTCAGTCACCTTTTGGCAACTGCAACACAAGCAAAGCCCCTCCTCAAAGGCAGCAGGGATGGAAACAAAGCAAATATGCTCTGTCTCCAACAGAGAGCCAGGCTCAGGGTGTTAAACCAACACTCCAGATCCAGCTACAGCAGCTTTTGCCTTAACAACATGGCCAGGAGAATTTATTATTCAGGAAGACTCACTTTGCCCAAGGCCAACCTGATCTTACACAGTTGCTAAAGGGACTTTAAACAGCATTCAGCTCCACACAGTAATAAATGCAATCAATGTCAGCTACAAACTCAAACTCACCTGTAAAACCTGTTTTCAAGCCTCCTCCTGATGGTGGTGAGGTCAGTTGGATAAGCAACGACAGTGCAATACATGGGATAGGCACTAAGGTCCACTGGAACAGCAAAGGGATTAGAAATATCTGCAAGACAAAAGACCACAATCATTTAGATGCCTCCAAGAGATGTTATACCAAGATTCCTTTCAATGGTTTCTGGGGTTTCTTTCAAAGAATTTAGCAAAAGCAACACAGATCTACAGCTGAGAATGTCATTACCCACAGGGCAGGGTTCTTCCTCTTGTACCATCTATTCCTGCTCTTGAAAAAGCATTTTTTATGTATCACAGCTGAGATCTGTGTGCCAGCAGCCAATCTCACTGAAAGGAACGTGGCATTTGCACTTACAGCAGGAATACTAAAACACATAACAAGTCAGAACATAGACATGTCCTGGGTGTAAACAGAGGCAGAATTAAAGCACAGTGGGCTATTAAATGGTTACAAACCAGTTACAAGGAATTTGGAGGTGTGGATATTTAGTGAGGATTTGCTGGTAGGTTTTGAGGGGTTTAATTGTATGTTTTGCTCTTTCACCTTTAGATATGACCCACTGGGAAGCCCCACTCAAAGAAATCAGGTCAAGCCTCAGAAAAAAAAGGGAATTTAGCTTGGAAACTGAAATATGAAATTTAAAAGGCTCTTTTCAGTAATTCAGTTGAGTATATTTCAAATACTCCACACCAAGTCCCAGCACTCCATCCCATCTACTCTTCAGTCCTGTGCTACCTCCCTGATACTGTTAATCCTTCTCCCTTTTCTCACCAAACATACCAAGGGAAAGAAGCTGCTCAATCCCTCGGATTACTCGTTCACATTCTTCATCTCTGGAATGAGCCCCCCATTCTCCTTCCTGGGGTTTGTAGAGGAGAGCTGTCAGCTCCTCTGGGGTCACAGGAACTCCAGCACCGACCTCCTCCGGATATGCAGCTGGAGAGGAACAATTCCAGAGGGTAAATCCAGGGCCCCAGAGCTGTTTGCTTTGTGCAGGGACAGGAATCCAACACACACTTACTTCCTTCTGGGATCGGTTCCATGTCCCATGGACTCATCCTCTCTCTTTCATTGTTGTCCCAGCTATTAAAAAATGCATTCAAATGCACAAGTTAGAGCTCAATATAAAGACACACCTTTTCTTTACCAGATTTGACCCAAAAGGTCACTCCAGTTAGGAATAAGATATTCCAACTCCCTATTTTCCTCTGGTATCTCCTACACAGTCACTGCACTTCTGTTTATACCAGAAGTGTTGCTTTAGGAATAAATTCAAGAGTTAAATAAGTAAATATTCAAATTAAAGAAAGATTTAAAACATTCTAAAATAAACAAATAGTAAGTAACAAATAAGAAGTACAAGACATGAAATTAAATAAGTAAATAAAGTGTCTGGGTATGTATTTAATTGGAAAAAGGGATTCTAGTTCTTGAGGTTCCTGATCCTATTTTTGAAGCTCTCTGAGTTGTGCAGGATCCCCAGGACACGGAAATACTCACTGGACACTGTAGCACTGGAAGGAACTATCAGGATATTCTGCCTGGAAGGGCTGCTGACTCTCCACAGTCCCAAACCACCAGGCATCATCAATGATACTGCGAAATCTATCCCCTGGAAGGGCAATCATTGCATTCAGAAAAAAACCAAAAACAACAAGAATTGCTAAATATTTCCTTTTAGAGAATCAGCTCCCTCTTCTGTGAATGCCTCACTGCCATCCTTACGTTTTGCACCACAGGAGTTGAGCCCTTGCTCTCAGGGCAGGATTTGCCCATCTCAGGGAAATACTCACAATTTCCTCATGACCAGATCAGGAGATTCTCCTACTCTCACTGCCCTTGAAACAGTTTCTCTCATTTCTCCTTTTTTTTTTTTTTTTTTTTTGCTACAGGAATTGCAGCAAACATCAAATAAAAGTTTCTACTAATCTTTACAATATCATGTGTGTACAGTCCTTTATATGGTAATAAAGACAATGTATCCCATTAAACAGCTACAGAAATGGTGCAAAAACACATGGAATTGGAAAAAAAAATACTCACCTATTTGCCAGTTCCTTTCTTTGGCTTCATTATAAAACTGATGCAGCACAAGGAAATCAATAACATCTGGCATATCATGGTACCTTCAGGAAATAAGACCAAAAATGTTATTATTACCCAGAAATACAGTTCTAGATGAACAACACAGTCCTCAAATTCCATGCATTTGGGATAACCATCACTGCCATCATCATGCCTTGCACAGGAAATAAGAAAGGAGGAGGGGGAAGTTTCTACACTGCAAGGAAAGCTCTTGAAGAATGTCATCAGCATTCCAGTGACTTACTTTATGGAAAAGGATTCTCCTGTCATTTTGCCTGTGATTGGATCCAGGAATGCAAGCTTCAAGCAGCAGAGTGTGGGAGGCCCAACTTCATATTTAATCCCTACAGTCTTCACAAATTCTTGTTCCTAGTTAGCAAGAAGTATGGAAGAGCATTATTTTACCTTGCCAACAACAAAAATATCAATTTTAAAGTGAAACATTAATAAAAACCCAAATATGTTTCCAATATATGGCACAGGTAATTTCACCCATTAATTTTTCTTTTCCAAATACTAAAATCAATCACTGTCACCTCAAAAAGAAAAATGAAGCAGCTCATTCCTTTGGCAGGTTTGTGAACAGGGTTCCTACAAATTATTTAAGAAGGTTCTAAGGAACAAACCCAGTTTTAAGCACACCAAAGGCTCTCCCTGACCTACCCCCTCATTCTTGCACAGGGGGAAAAAAGGGAATTCTTCCTCTGAAAACCGAAATTCCACAATAGCCTTTATGTTCATGTCCTGTCAAAGCCCGTCCTAAGTGAACAGCTTTTTCCTTTTCCTCACAAACTGATGATGCCTTGGAAAATTACAGCTGGAATCACTGAATATCAGGGACTGGTAACTGGGTATTTTCCCAATAAATCAATTATTTTCATTAATAGAACCACTGGCATGGTTAAGTGAATATGAGCACATATATGGGCTCTTCTCTTGATATGAAATCCGAGGAAAGCAGGAAAAACATGGCAACACTGTGGATTAAGTCTTGGGAACTCATTCAAAGCAAGATCCAGTGTTTAAGAGAACTCCTGCACACTCCTGATTCCTTCTTTCTTACCACAGCATTAAAAACAAGAAACAGAACCCAAATGCTCAGGTCACTGTAAAGTGGTGAGAGAACCACAAACAGCTCTGCAGTGCTGGGTTCTGAATGAATTCAGTGTTCAAGCAAAAATAATTTGTGTTGAAAGAGACCCTTGAGAATCAGGTTCCAAAACCAGGAAGTGAACAGATGTAAAGACTTTGTGTTAATGAAAACTAACTTTAAGATTTACAATTAAAACTTTGATATTAACATTTTAAAGCAACACTTTCATTTTTTATGATGGTTTTTCATGTCAGTTTAACATTACAAATACATTCAGCTCTTTGAAGTATTTCTTGAACTTACCCTGAGTTCCATTTTGTTCCATGGTTGTTTTTGCATGTTAATACTGTAAATTTTGGCTTTCCTCACTGCCCTCACATAAGCTTCATGGCCTTGCCTAAAATAGATGATCTTAAAAGAGAAAAAAAGAGAAAATTAAGAGAGAAAAAGAGCAAAGGAAAACAAAAAAGTAGAGAAAATTATTTTACCGATTGTACTCTTCCTGTTCATTCTATATCAGATCTTATCCCTTTCAGAACACATTACACACTTATTTATTTCATCATAAAACATTCTTCTAGTTAAAATATTTATATTAGTCCCCAAATTTGCATCTGCTCTGTGCTTTAAAACCGGGATCATTAAGAAATGTGCAGGTTAAGATGCACAACCAATTTTTCCTGCTAATCCCAAGTTAGCCGTGCAGAAAAAGGGATGCAGGATCTGTAAACAACAAACTGCCTGGGAATTAACAAAGTTATCAAAACCCAGCCTGTCCTGAGCACAATTCCCTGCAGATATGGCTGGGTAGAAGAGTCCTAAGCAGGCTGAGCTGCTGATTTCCCAGGAATTGTTGAGTACCTCATCTCCCATCTGGGGCACGAAGGGCGAGCGGCGGGGAATGGTGTCCAGGATCCACTGTGGGGCCAGCCACTCCTCACTGGGCTCCCCTTCCAGGGACAGCAGCCCACTGGCTTTCTAAACACAGCACAGCAGGACAGAACAGAGCTGAGTTACACACAGAAGTTCAGTATTTGCAGTCATTTAGAATGCAATCAACACAATATTCAGAATACTGTTAATTACTATGGAGAACTCATCGTGCAGCAGTTACTGCAGGTAAGGTACAAGGAAAAGCAAATTGTGGAGTGACATCCTTCCCCAAAATCACCACTAAATAGCTGAGAACAAGACAGGTTTGTTATAAATATAATTGAACATTAAAACCTTCATAAATCATTAAAATGTCTTAAAACCTTCATAAATCATTAAAATGCCCATGGCAGGGGGGTGGGATAAAATGATCTTTAAGATCTCTCCAACTCAAACCAGTCTGTAGTTCTATAATGAAGAAAGAAATTGTATTTTTATAAATATTCTGAATGTCTTTAAAAAAAATACCAGGAAAAAGAAATCTGACCATGTCTACAATAGAGATCCATTATAATTTTACAAGAAAACCATCCTGTTGTAAACCTGACTGTAGTGAAGAGCATAAATCTGGGAGAGAAAAAATTGAATTTGTAATGAAGAATCACCTGTGGGAAACATGGAAGAACAATAAAACAAACAATAAAATTTCTTGGTACCACTGGTACCACAATTACTGTGATCTCTCTAATTTTTTTTTACTCTATACCCATTTATGAAGAATTTTACTTTGAAAACAACACTAAAACCCAAATTCATATTCATTAAGTACAAGACACTTAGAATTACAATTGCTGACCTTTTTCCTTGGCTGTTTGAGTTTCCTTCTCTTTGGCTCCAGCCCTTTTGTTCCCTTCATATTTTCATCTTCAGAACTACTACAGATTTTCCGAGCTGCCTGCCTGGTTTGTCTCTTTGGAGGCTGCAGATTAATCCCAGCATCTGCTGTCCAGTCTGAATATTCACTTGATGAATCACTGTAATAAAAATGTTGTAAGAAAGAGAACAGAAAACTTCAGTTTCCCCATAGTGGATTGAAAAGTCCAAACATTCAACCTGCTGATTCTGCTCAGGATTAGCACAGAATGTTGTTATCATGTGAATTTAAAGAAAAACAGGTGCTCTCAGATTTGTGATTTCAGTAAATTCTTTTATCAATCTGAAACTCACAGTAAAACCATCTATGGCTGATATCAATTCTCATTATCTCACTGATTCACAGACTGACTTCATAAGAACTGGCAGCAAAAAATGCATGGAACATTAAAAAAACTAGAGCACTTCCCTAAAAATCCAGTGCTGACTTTTAAATACCAAATAATACACGTACAGGATTTATATGGCAAACCAGCACTGATTTTTTCAAGTAACTTTAAAGACCATCTTTTCTTATAAAAGTTTTTTTAGAATTGTTTTTTACTTTGAAAAGGAAAAAAAACAGAAAAAAAATCACAATATAAAATGTTTCATGACTAACTGGTTATAAATCAATCTTCAAAATGAAGTCTGAGTATCTACTGTCCTACTTAAATCCCATAATAAACCAGTGTTACCAATTCAGAGCCCAGTGCAGGTACCTGGAACTGCTTTCACTCTGCCATGCTGCCACAGGATCATCCATGGATGCATCACTTGTGCCAACAGTCTCATCTTCCTGTAGTGAAAACAAGAGGATTCACTCTAGGGCCAAGGGTAAATTGGATCATTTTTGCTTGCAAGCAAGTTTTATCACCTGAGGAAAACTTTGTATTCAAGGGCTGGTTTAGCTTTAAAGAAATAAATCCACAATTTCTTCCTGTATCTTAATTAGTATTATAATATATCCTTATAGAGCTCCTATAGAAACAAATGTGAATTTTAATTATATGAGAACTACAGAATGAGTTCTTATTTAAGTTTTTGATTAATGAATTTTAGTGCCCAGGGCCCAGCTTTTTGAGCTGTTCTGTACTTTCAACACATTTACAAAGCAACAATGTTCAGTTTCTTCCTTAAGGAGAACAAGTTATATTTATCTGGTATATTTTAGGTTCTTCCCTTGCCAAAATCAATGATTAATACCAATACTCAATCTCTTTCAACAGCAGTCTACAGATGTAGATGAAATCAAAGCACTGCAAAATGAAATCAAAGTCCTGACCCAGAATCCATGTGCTGCATGAAATCCCAAAATAGCAAGTGGTTTAACACAACCCAGTTAAATTTACTTGAAAATGTTTCAGGTTTCCAAAAATACAGGAGCTGTTTTAAGCTACTTTTGAACACTGTCCTGGCATTTAGGTAAATGATCCTTCACTCTCCAAGACCAACATGCCACAGGAACACCACAAATCCCAGAGACTCAATGACCTGAGTGTTTCATCCCATGTGGAGAATCACAGAATATCCTGAGCAGGAAGGGACCCACAAGGATCAGAGTTCAGCTCCTGGCCCTGCACAGACACCCCAACAATCCCACCCTGGGCATCCCTGGCTGTCCAAACCCTCCTGGAGCTCTGGCAGCCTCAGGGCTGTGCCCATTCCCTGGGAGCCTGGGCAGTGCCAAAACACCCTCTGGGGGAAGAACCTTTTCCTAAAACCCAGCCTGACCCTGCCCTGACACAGCTCCAGCTGTTCCCTGGGTCCTGTTCCTGTCACAACCTCTCTGGATTCCCAAGACTGCTCAAAAAAATCACCAAGAGAGGCTTTGTGATGGCATCAGCAGCAATTTGAGGATTCTTGGATGAATTCTCTCAGGCTCCATTGATTTGCAGGGATCCAGCTGGAGCAGCAGATCCCACACAAGTTCAGGGCTCACTGGGAGCTGATCACTCTCAGTCGTGGCCCTCCAGCTTAGAGCACTGGGACCCCCTTGCTCCACCATCCATGTTGAAGATGGAGACAAAAGGATGTGTTAAATCCCTGTCACTATTTGTGAGGTGACCATCCCCATCCTGCAACGGGCCAATGTTATTTTTATACTGCCTTTTGCCATGAACACATTTGAAAAACCTCATTTGACTGCCCCCTATTCCCCAGTCTTGGCAGCTCCAGCTCAAACTCAGCTTTGGCTGCACAAACAGTGAACACACGGAACCTGAGATTTGGGAATAGGGAAGAAGCTTAATGTGCTCTGGGATTTGGGAATGGGGAGGAAGCTTAACATGCTCTGGGGTTTGGGAACGGGGAGGAAGCTTAACATGCTCTGGGATTTGGGAATGAGGAGGAAGCTTAACATGCTCTGGGGTTTGGGAATGGGGAGGAAGCTTAACATGCTCTGGGGTTTGGGAATGGGGAGGAAGCTTAACATGCTCTGGATTTGGGAACGGGGAGGAGCCTAAACGTGCTCTGGGATTTGGAAACGGGGAGGAACCTTAATGTGCTCTGGGGTTTGGGAACGGGGAGGAACCTGAACGTGCTCTGGGATTTGGGAACGGGGAGGAACCTCAATGTGCTCTGGGATTTGGGAATGAGGAGAAACCTTAACGTGCTCTGGGGTTTTGGAACAGGGAGGAACCTTAACGTGCTTTAAGATTTGGTAATGGGGAAGCTGTTGGAGGCTGCTGGGAGGCTCAGACCTCAGAGGAGCTGTCGGAGTCGTGGCGGGCACAGGGGTTCTGGCTGGCTCCCTGCTGGCTGTGCTCGATGGTGGAGCGGGTCTGGTACGCGTGCTGCCGCTTCCGCTGGTTCCTGCGCAGAGAGCGGCCGCCTCCTGCCTGGAATTCGCTCTGCCGGGGGACAGACAGGGACAAAGCACAGGGAGTTACTCATGATTTACACCGTTAAAAGGTGCCTGGTTACAGTGGCTGAGTGTGGCACCTCAGTCATAACTGAGCAGAAAGAGATCATTGTAGAATTAGACAACATCTCTGATGCATTGCTGTTTTCGGTGTGGATTTTTGGTTCAACAGAAATTCTACTTTCCTTCGGAAAGGAAATGTTTGAAAATACCGTTCTTTTCTATAAAATTCTTGCAGTCTTTGCATAAGATAAATCCAGCCCCTTGTAAAAGTTTGGCACCTCTACTTTCCACAAGTCAAACTGAAAACCCACTGTGGCTCTGTGATTTTCCTTTCCCAGCATCTTCCCACCGCTAAAGCCTCAAGGATAGAGATTTACCACTATTTGAATATTACAGACAGCCAAATCAGTTACAGAAGGAAGAAGATAGTGAGCCAGAGAAACAATTAGGACTATTGATCTTCTAAATAATTCAATAAAATTGGTTTGGGTTTTTTTGTTGGTCTTATTTTTGTTGCTCAGCGCTCAGAACTGCTTCCCACACAGACTGTCTCTTCCAGGGCATTAACTCACCCGCTGTAAGGTGTGGGATGGCTTTCTCTTCTTGTCAGCAGTGTATAAACTGATTTCTATTTCACCTTTGGCAGCTCGGCATTCTTCCTGGACCCTAATTATACATAAGAAACACACATTATATTCATTAAACCATCATGGAACTGAACAGCCTCCTTAATACACACATTAAAATACTTGTGCTGCTCTAAGAAATCTGTGCATAAATTCCCCCAGCAGCATCCATCCATTTGTTCTTGGAATCACAAGTTGAAGAAGCAAACTTGTTTGCTGAGCAGCTGTAATTCTTTTCAAATGCATTAAAATTATTTTCAAGTCTTTTTCAAATAAAGCTTGAGGGAAATGTTGTATTTGGAGCACTGAAGAAAGAGTGAATTGTGAAAAGAAGGAATTGCCATTCTCAACTCTCCATTCTGATCCCAACATTCCAAACAACCAAGCCCCAAAGCTGACGCGCCGCCGAAAAACCATTCCAGGAGAGTATGGAAGGCTCATTGCACATCACACAACTGAATCACTCATCCTACTGAGCCTCTTACTTGCTGATGCCTGGAGGGAGCTCGTTGACCACCACCCTCCTGCTCCAGGCCATGAGGTCCCTCTCGGTGGCCATCTGGCTGCGGGGTGCGTTGTGGTGCATCTGCCGCACGCCCTCGATCTGCCCGCTCCGGCGCAGCCCCACGTTGGGTGGGGAGGCCACGTCCAAGCCAGGGCTACGAAGAGCTGGGGGACAGACAGAGAAAGAAAGAGCTTCTTCACTTCTATGAACCACCAATAGAATCATGGAGTCACAGGATGGTTGGGTTAGGAGGGACCTTAGAGATCAAACATGGGACAGTCTGCCATGGGACACTTTCCGCTATCCCAGGATGCTCCAAGCCCCGTCCAACCTGACCAGGGACACTTCCAGGGATCCAGGGGCAGCCAAAGCTTCTCTGGGCACCTGTGCCAGGGCCTCACCACCCTCACAGGGAAGGATTCCTTCCCTGTATCCTGTCCAAAATTTAAAGCATAAGGATGGCAAATGGAATCACTGCCACCATTGTCCTCACTTATCCCTCAACAAAATTCCCTGCTTAAGTATGGTAAATCACACAATAATATTGCATTTATGGTTGTGTAAAGCTATATAAAAATATCTGGCTATTTAAATACTTTATACATACTCCAATTAACTTACTCAAATGGGCAGTTCATATGGGCAAAGTCATTGATCAATGCAAGTTCTAGAAAGAAACTGTGCTTTAACTTCCACACCACTCATATCTGGAAATTCCTTTACACAACTACAGGGATACACAAATAAAACTGGGAACTGGGGCTGTACAACACATCAACATATCCTAAGCAGCAGAAAAGACTTTGAGTGAGCTGAGGCTGCCTTTTAGGCAACCTTTTCAAAATATCAACTTAGATCAAAGCAAAAATGCATTTTCATATTTTTCGCTGATATTTTTCTTACTCTTTCTTGAATTGAAACACGAGCAATTCCACATCCAAATCCTAATGAGCTTTGCCAGGAAATCTACTTCAAATACATGTAATCAGTCACTTAACCTAGAAGTGATTTATTAGCAGCTGTGAATTCTCCCAAGGCTCCGGCTGACTTGAAGCAGAGTCCTGGGCATCTGCTCCCTCCCATCAGCTGCACTCACTCAGTTGCTCACATCTGATTGAGTGTGGTTTCAATTTTTAATCGCTTTGTGTATTAAAAATAAAATCACAGTAGCAGAACACTTACCAGGAGAATAATCTCAAGCTTTCTAAGGAAACACTAAGACAGAGCAGCATGTTTATTTTATTAGCACTGATGCTCAGCATTGTGCTGCAGCAGGAAACCATTAGTCTGTCACAACACTGTATTCCACTGACAGCCCCTAATTATATGCTTTCATTTTGGCATTTTGTAGTTATGAAGTTTCATCTCTGCACTGATATCAAGACAATACAGTGAACTTCATGCTTATTTTTCAGGAAACTGGTTTATAGCAGGAATAATTCCAGTCCAATAACTCCAAGCAATCAGATACAGCCCAGTTAGACCACTCAGTCCCTTCAGCTGCCTCCTAAATTTAAATTTTAATTTTAGTTTTAATTTAAAAAGCTTAAATTTATAATTCCTCTGTTAGAATCCACAAAACATCCCACTGCTCCACAGGGTTAACAAGAAGAGGAGAGAAAAGCATCCTCAAAGACACCATCTCATAACTGACATTAACACTTTGATCAGTCCTTCCTGTGATAAGGAAGGAACTGATGGAGATAAGGCTGAACACTGACCTCCATTAACAGAGTGGGATCTGTTGAGTGGAGGGTTTGGAAGAGTTTCTCCTTCATTAATCAGTCTCAGATCTTGTTCCCTCTGGAGCTCTCTGATCATTCCATCAAGGATACTCTCATCCTGGTCATTGGTTTGCTGCCCGATGACTTGTTCGACCACCTCACCATCACCTTGACAAGAACAGAGTCACAAATGCTGATAAAATGATTGATTTCTGTATTAACAAACACCATAGAGATAATCCCATTTAAAACCCTGCATCACTATTTGTCTGTTCTGCAAAACATCTGATCACCAGCTGGCTTTCTGCTCTCATGTAATAAATAGAGGCAAAGTTTAGAAGAGAAGTTACAATAAAATCCTAAAACTCCAGACCACATGTAGAACATAAACACAAACCCTTAGAAACAGCAGGGAGAAATTATGCTTCAGTAGGTAAGAACTGAAGGTCTTTTTTGGGGATCAGCATTTTGCTAGTTTGTGTCTACAAGAAAAAAGAACTGTTTTAAAAAAACAAAAGCTGGTTTTCCGTGTCTTCCTCACTCTCCTGCTCTCTTTTTCACATCCACAGTTATAGAGATTAATAGATAATGCTTTAAACATCTGCTATATACCTGGGAAAAATGCACAGATTTTGGAATATTCTTGCTACTCTTGCCTCCAGTCAATTTGATTCCACACATAATCCCATCCCACCCCCTCTTCTACCTGTATATGGGATTTAAACCATTAATTTATACATCCTCACAGCACCATCCCAGGAGCTGGTGCTCAATACTGTGCCACACTTCTATTATTCATGAGGTTCAGACAGAGTACCATTAGCCACATATCCCAGCTGAGGAATAAGTTGTTCATCCTTGCAATTTTCCCTCCCTGGCACCAGCCTCTGGAATCTCGTGGGATGAGGATTTCCATCAACATCCACCAGGAATGGAGGAGGCATAAGGTGTGGAGCCTGTTGAGTCTGTTCATCCAGCACATAATTATTGGCATCCCGGATGAGGGGCCGGTAATCCGTGTGGAAGAACATCTGATCAGGAATCTGAAAGAAAAGCAATGTACTAAATAAATCAATGGCCATTTGCAGCTGTCTTGCTGCTCTGGGATGGCTCTCATAGACCACAACTCCTACATTTGGGATCAGCACAAGGAATGTTGTGACAGAGAACAGATTTGTACTACAAATGTGGTTTATTACCAAGGCCTGATGCAGAAATTCAACAGTAAAATAGGCCAAGAGAGGTGGACAGAGAAGTTAATGTTTTTCTCCTCAATCTATAGAGTCTCTTGTCTAAATCTTCTTGATTTAGATAAACAGCAACTGCTCTATGACCTAATTATTATTTTGTCTGGGCCAGGGTGAGGGAATAAATTGTAACACAAATACAAATTCTAAGACAAAATCATGTCAAGACAGGGAAGAGTTTAAAATTCATTCAACCCACCTTTTCATAATATTTATTGCATCCAAAACCAAATAGTAGCAGATGTCCATGAGAGTCTGTGCAGGCAAAATGCTGCCCATCTGGTGAGAACTTGCAATCAAAAACAGCTCCATGGCCTTGGCCCTCAATCTGTACCAAGCACAGAGAATTCTTTTCACAACCAGACATTCTCTATAAGAGCATTTTCACAAATATTTCCCCTGTGCTCCAACACGTACTGAATCCTCATTCTGTGATTTCTCACCTTGCTCAAGACTGATTTACACTTCTATTTATTAAACTGAATAACAAAATAAAACTTCACATTTTCTCTCTGCCCTGAAATTTCAGCCCAACTTTTAATGTATGTTTTGGAACAACCACCTGGAAGTCTACATTTTATGTTAATGGCAGACACAGGGCAAGATCACCAAAGATCTCACAGCTGTACTGGCTCTGGAGGTATTTACTGAAATCTGCTTTTGTCTCAAGACCAGTTTTGTGAAAAAAGAAAAAAAACAAACTTGTGATCCTTCTTACCATGTTAAAGTAATTGCGAATTTTTGTTCCTTTGTCTATATCCCAAACAAAAATATTCCCATCGTGTCCTGCCGAAAGCACAATCCTTTGGTCAAAGGGATGAGCCTCCAGAACAAAAACTTCATCATCGTGACCCTGCAATGACAGCAGAGGGGGAAAAATGTTTTATTTCTCCGTGTGGTATCTCCAGATGTGCTGGGAGTCACTGACAGGACATCCCAGATCAGGGAGTCACCCAGGACACCTCCATTTACTGGAACTGTGCTTGGTCACCATTCCTGCCACAGGTTTGGCAGTGTCACTGCTCAGCATCACTGAGATGGGGACGGATGGGGAGGAAGGAGACATCAAGGCACAAATGGAGCCTCCAGAGGGTTCCCTGCCAGCCAGCAATCACCAGGATTCTGCACATCAGCTCCCTTCCCCATGGTGCACCCTCCTCCCAGCAGGCAGGGGACAGCTGGACACTTCAACACCAAATCCTTGTCACAGGAATGGTGATGAGTTCAGCCTCCAATCAATCTCAGAGTGAACTACATCCACTTGGGATTCCCCCTGGAATTGTACTCACAGATAAGCTATGGAGAAGCTGCCCTGTGGATGAGTTCCACACTTTGAGGAGGAAATTGTTGACTGCAGTGATGACAGTGGCATCGTATCGATCCCAAGCCACCATGGTGACCTTCAGCTTGGTGACTTTGTCCTCTCCAGATGCCACATTGTTTCTAAGAAATCAGCAATTTAAAAAGGAATAAATCAGTAACAACATATGGAAACACTTAGGAGAGCTAATTCAGTATGAAATTCGGGGGTGGATGGATCACAGGCACCTCTGTGACTCTGGCTAAGGCAGGAGAATGAAGGATGGTTCTGCAGTGGTAAAAACCAAATACGGGAAATATTCAGTGCCACTGAGATTTATAGAGCTCTATTTCCTTAAAAAGGACATTTTCTCCTCTCTCCCTAAGCCATCATCCTTCCCTACCCTGATTTTTCCTTTCAGGTCTATTAGGCTCTTTCCTACAAGTCATTTTTCTTATCAGTCATCAATATCAGTAAACTCCACAGTGAGCAGGAACCTGCTAAATAAATCCAACTCACACTTCCGACTGCAAACACTGCAAATGCAACCACTGAAATATGGAGAATTCTGCAAAGCAAGTGCCTAATGGATTTCTCCATTTCTGCTTTTTGTTGCTGTGAATACTCAATTACAATTCAATTACAGGGCACTTAAAGAAGTCACTTGAGGATCTCAAAAAGAAAAACTCAAAACCCTAACTGAACCTGAGAACCAAGCATTAATTTCACTTCTTACTTGGAAACCTAAGGTAGAAATACAATGTTAAGAACCATGTTGGATATATATACATATACATATATATATATATATTAGCAAATGATTACTGGGGCTCTACCAAAATCTCCTTCTGTGAGATCAATTCTTATTTCATGTGTAAAATACTAAATATTCCTCAACCATTAGGATAGGGAAGTACTAACAGATTATTATTTATATGGGGGTGAATTAACTGTGGAAATCGAAAAAGCCACGACACTTTCAATGCATTCATGGAAATAAATTCAAAATGGAAGCAAATAACCAGTTTTCAATATAGTGGAGCATTTAGCTTGCAGGTAAATGTGTTGATGAGGTGTGTTGTGCTTGCTTTGCTTTACCCTGTCATTTTTGTAGCCATATCCAGAACCAGACTCTTCCAGTCATGCTGATGGTAGTGCCAGATTCTTGCTGTTCCATCTCTGCTTCCACTGACAAACCTTAAGCTGTGGGGCCAAAGGAAAAAAAAAAAGCCATGAAATTCTGAATAAAGATGGTTTCATCCCCACGTGGACACCAATAAATGATATATAATACACTTGAAGTGTGTACTTGTGCATCTTTACTTGTCTCACTCATGAGGTTACAATTTTCCTATCAGATCTTGTAGGGTACAAGAGAGTTTCTAGCCCACAACATTAATTACATTTGGCTCCAGCAGCAGATGGCCTTGGAATGACTTCAATGTCGTAATTCATATGAGCTGCACATTCCCTTTTTAATGACATCAGCAAATCCCTGGAGCAGCTCAGAGTGGCAGCAAAGAAAGGGAAACTGCATGCCAGGAGTCTGGCATAAATTATAATGCATTAACTTAGGGACAGGGTGAAGACAGGCAAGGGGAAGAGCCAAATGGAGCACAAGGAGGTTGTCCTGTTTGGAGCTGAACAGGAATATTTTAATTTTTAAACCCCTCCTTATTTAAAAATTTCAAGCATGCAGAAAATGTATTTAACCACATCATAATGCTTTGGCCATCAATGTCACAGAAGTAATTTTTTTTGAGAAACTGGGAAAAAAGCTCCTCAACATTTTTACAGGATGGCAAACACCTTTGGAAGTATATTCCATTTATACACAAAATTACACTTAAAAGGCAAATCTATTCAATTTTAAGAAGCAATTGTTTCACCTTTTCAGTTTCCCTGATCTGATTTTTTTCACTGTGATGAAAAAGAGCTTGAAAATGCTTGTGACAAATTAATTTTCTTCTTAATTTTACTTCTTTATATTAAAATAAAAAGGAAGGTACCCCTTTTCCATTCAAAGCATTGTTATAGAATACAATTTTCAGTGAGTATGCAACCTCATTCCCTCTCACATGGCTTGGAAGGAAATGGTGCTACAATTACCCCAGCACATTCCCACAAAATTCCACATGACAGCTACAGTAGGGCTTGGAAGGTTCATCCCTTAAAGACACATCCCTTACACCTCCTGCTCAGCAAAATAAGGAACAGGAGCAAAAGCTGAGATAAAAACATCTATATTTACTAACTTTTCTTTAGACTACATTGATTTAGAATACATCTATTGCTTATGGAGGAAGAGCATTGTAATCAATGTGGGGGCTACCTGGGAAGGTTTTTACACAGAAAGGTTATAAAATTTGATATCCAATTTGCTGTTTGAAACAAAAAAACAAATTAAAAGCATAATTACAGAACATTTTTGTTGTTACAGCAGAGGACAACGAGTTTGAGCTTGTGGACATGACACACATCTTGCAACACACTGCAATAATTTGTCCAGGATTAAGCCAAGCCCACGGGCTAATCTTCCTGTTGTGCCAAATTTTCCATGAAATGTAGTTTGGAAAATTAAATATCATCACTGTCAGGTGCAAAACCCAGCACTCACCTGTCACCGTTGTTACAGAACTGCACTGCAACCACTTTGTCCTAAACAGGAGGGAGGAAAACAACAGAAGTGAAAAACTCAGCCTAAAAGATCTCCATGATGAGCTTTTCACTTAGCAAATTAAAAAAAAAAAACTCTAAAAAATCTAGTACAGAAAAGTTGTATTTGAAGTTAAGCTTCACCGGACACATTGTGTTAAACACTGAAACAGAAAATTTCAGAGAGGTGATGGTTTCCTGCAAATTTTAGACCTAAAATGACAGGGTATCAAAAAAATTAATCCAAAAAAAGCAAACCTTGGTTTTACTAACACTTACAAATCGTTGACAAACAAATGTTATGTTTTAGACATAGTTTTGTCCTTTTTTTAATCTGCCAAATACTTGTGCTGGCTCCATGGTTTGCTCTCCTTACTCCCACTCGTGTCTCTATCTCCTGGTAACTGGGATTTGTTTTAGGAGGGGCTGACAGCTGTCTGCAGGATTAAGAGTGGACTTAAAGAAATTAAAGGAATTAGAGCCTCTTCCAAACCTGTTCAATACAGAAAATATCTTTTTCTTTTGTGAGAAAAATATCTGTTAGATGTGTTGGCTTGGAGACCTCAATGTGAGAGCCACAACTCCCACTGAAGTTCAGGGAATCAATTTAGACCTTGGGCTCAATCCATAAAATGTTCCTGAGGTGGTAAATTTGTAGTTCGAATTTTTATGGGAATCTTTCTGCATTATCTAAAAAAAAAAAATGCTTTTAAGCTTTATTTTCTAAATGAAATTACCATCATGCCCCAAATTTTGACAGCACAGTCGAAAATTTGAATTACTTTGTCTTATGTGGATTGAACTAAACATTCAACAGCAAGTTTAATAGGAAAAAATGACATTGTGCAATGACATGGTGCATTAAAACTATTTTAATTCCTCATTCCATCACAGATTTTTTCAAGAGTAAGGGAAAATCACCTAGTTCCTCAGTTTTCTGGGGGAATGAAATACATAAAGCCTACTTTGCACAAACCTCTTGCCTCAGAGAGATTTAAAAATAAACATCCCACAAATTTCCAGACATTAAAATACCGCAATGTTGAAAGCCAAACAAATTCTAGACAGTGAATTAAAAAAAAAATAAAAATAGGATGTACAGAAATCAAGTTCCTGAAATGAGGAAAAGGTGGGAGATAAAAAGAGATTTTCACTTGGATTTTCCTCTTACCGTGTGAGATTCCAGCTCAGCCATTTTCTCTGGAGATTCTGAGCCCAAATAATAAATTCTTATTACATGGTCTGTACTCCCTGTTGCAATGAACATGCCACCTAAAACAGAGAATTCTGTGTGAGAAGAAAAGTCATCCAAAGAACAACTTATTTTTACTTCATTTATTTTAATTTGCTGCTTTCTTGTCAAAGCAGCAAACTAGTTTTAAACAGAAAATTTCAATGTAAACAGGTAAATGTCAAATAAAATATTTAAATGCAGTTTCAATACCTATTTGGCACACATCACAGAAATTATTGCTGAGCTGGGATGTAGTGATTAAAGTATTTTATTGTAATTTCTTTACAATATTGCTCAAAAAGGGCACTATTGTGTGGTTTACTGCATTGTAATGGGTTTAGTTTATTCAGGATTTCTGGCTTTAAAGAAAGAATGTGGCTCTACAAAAGTTCTCAATTTCAAAAAGCAAATTTAATGAGCAGTTACATCATTTTCTTTGTAAAAATCAGTATTTTTGCTATTCAAAGCTGCAGAGGAGGATTGTTAAGCTGAGATTCTCCAAAATATTGAACTGATCCTCTTAGAATTCAGACAAATTTGGAAGATTAGCAAAAGTGTAATCTTTGACAGAGGACTTCCACAACATTTCACTCAAAAAGTTTACAGGGTAAAGTCTTAAAAGGATGTTACAGAGAAATATCTCTGATGTGCAAAACAAGAGACTGAAAGCCTTGGAAGTGGTCAAGATATTTTAGCTTAAATTATAGGAAAAAAAAGAAAGAGCAGCTTGAGGCAGATACTTTGCAGGGAAAATTTCCAATAATCACAATTTGACAGGGATAAAATTAACTGGGAAAGGGTTTAACACTATTTCTATTTAAAGAGAAGTAACAGAACTGTCACCAAAGCCCCAAATTCATGAAACAGCTGATGCTGGACACATACCAGAACTGAAAGATGAACAGGAGATCTGAACACCAGGCCTGGACCTCTCTGCAAACTTCACAGGACGATCCCTACATGTAAAACACAATATTTTTATTTTTCCTCCTTTATTCAACACAAACAGTTCCCTGCAGCTCAGCAGGTTGAGGTCAAGCTCATCTTACATCTCTTAATTTGGTAATTCTCACCTAAGCTTGCTGGAATTTATTTTTCCTTTTAGGAATTTTCTTCCTTAGTTTACTAAGGAAACAATTCTCTAAACTGAGATTATTTAACTGAGTCACCATTATACTCACCAATTCAAATCTATTTAAAACAGACCCTGCCAAACCATTAATCCAATAGCATTTCCTCCCAATTAAATGTGGGTTTGATGACATCTACATATGTACATTCTTCTGATTAAAAGCAAATTAATTCTTCTGCCTGCACATTTTGGACAGGGATTTAATCCTGAATGTAAAAGCTTGAATTTCTTCTACAACTTTGGCTTGCAAAGCACAAACCTCAGAAATAACAACCCCAATCTCTGCCTCCCCTTTGGGTTTCAATGCCACAGAATCTCAAAGTGTTCCTGCCCCACACACCAGTTTACTGAGCAAGAAAACACCCTTATTTCATTATCTCAGCATCATTCTCCGTGCCAAAATTAAAAATAAATCCCTCCTTGAGTTAAAATAATTGTAATTATCTAAACAGTCTCACTTGAATTTCATGGTGTTCGCATGCCACTGCCAGAAACAGATTGTTCCGTCGGCACCAGTGGAAGTGAGGTATCGAGTTGTTCCTTTCCTTGCTGGAGAGAACTAAAAATAAAAGTTGTAACAATTAAACCAGCTCCTATTTTCTCTTTTTCATGCTGGAAACTTATTGACAGGAATGTTTTTCACTAACATATTAGTTTCTCCCCAGGAGTATAGAGAGCAGGGGTAAGCACAGAATCTGAACTTCCATAAAAATGAAGTTGAGGAAATGGAAAACACCTACATTTGGATTAGGAATTCTTTTTTTTTTACCATACAAAGGAAATTGGAGAAATTAAACAAGTCCAGATCCTGTAAATGGGGCAAAACTATGAGGAAGAAGTTATTTCTAGGATAAAACTGGATCAGACATGGCAAATACAGCTATTCCTGCATCCAAGCCCAATGAAGAGCTGCACAGCAGGATCCCCTCTTCTCTATCTTCCTAAACCTCTCTAAGGAAGGGAAGCCTTTTTATTCTCAATGTCATAACTGCAGCAATACCTTTAATCCTCAGGCTACCTGGTAATTTGATAAAGAAATCCAGTACTGTTTCCTCAAAAAGCAGTGACTGATTATATTCCAAATTATCAGTTTACAAAGAGCTTGAGAGAAACACACACATACACACACATATATATACACATATACATGTAAGCAAATAATACACCAGTTCAAAAGCTAGGTTGGAAAATATATTTCTGACACAATCACCTTAAAATGGCTGAAATCAAACAAAATTGGAAGTGCAGAGAAGATGGGGAGAAATGAGACTCCTGGGGAATACTGGCATGATAGAGAAGCCTGTGCTGAATCCAAGGCAGCACCACTCCAGGAGAGAGGGACTCTGAGCCAAACAGCCCCACTCACTCTCCCCTCTATGTGCATCACCTGCCAAAGTGCAGGGATTGTCTTTTTTATCCTGGAATTTTGGTTTTTGGAGATTTTTGCCTGGCAGTTGTAAAGTTTTTTAAAGAAAGTCTGCATTTGCTACAACATCCAGAACAGCTCTTTAAGCTACAAGCTAAGATAACAAGGAAACAAGAAATGAGGAGCAAGGAATTTTAACTGATCCTTTGGAAAACAAGAATTCTCTGTGAACACAAGAGTGCTGGGTCAGGTGCTGTGCCAGGAGCACCACCAAAGATGCCAAACATGTCAGTGAGTTGAGCCAAGGAGATGCTGCTGCTCTCTGAGTTGCTCTAAAAGAGCATCAGATCTCCCATTTTCTAGACCTAAGGAAGCAGCAGTGGGATCACCCAGCTAAAAGCACATGAAAGCAGGAAGATGATCCCCTGGACACCGTAGGATTGATTTAACCAGGCAAAACACCTTTGAGTCAGGACAAATCATAGACAAAAAGATCAATTTTACCCTTGACCGCCACAGCTCTTGTTACCATTCTAATTCAAGGGGTAAAGCCCATCAGTCCTCACCTGTATGGAAGTGATGGAAGCTGAGTGGCCCTGCAGGACTGCCAGGGGGGCACAGGTCCTGAGGCACCACACCCTGACCACCTTGTCACAGCTGCCCGCTGCCAGCAGCGTGTTCTCGTAGTTGACGGCCATGTCCGAGATCTCGGCCGAGTGGCCGCGCAGGGTGGACAGCAGGCGCCCGTCATCCGTGGCCCAGATCTTCACCAAACAGTCATCTGAGCCCTGGAATTGCACAGGCATTCCCAAAGGTTACAGCAAACACGGGAGGTGTTCCAGGCACGTCACGCACGGATCGCCGCCGATGGACAAGGATCCCAAAGCCCGTGAACTGATGGGACAACTCAGTGGGATTCCACTGAGCTCCAGTTTTAGGATGGAATTCTTCCCTGTGAGGGTGGTGAGGCCTTGGCATAGGCTCTCCAAAGAAGCTGTGGCTGCCCCTGGATTCCTGGAGCTGCCCATGGCCAGGCTGGGCAGGGCTTGGAGCAGCCTGGGATAGTGGAAGGTGTCCCTGCCCATGGCAGGGAATGGGGCTGGATGACCTGGGAATATTCCATCCCATCCAAACCTTTCTGGGATTCTATGATTCTATGAACTGTGCAGTCTGGGGATCACCCTATGGAGTCATGGAATTCAATTTGATAGAAGAGAATCATGGAATCACAGGATGGTTTATGCTGGAAAAGGATCTATTTGGAAGGCAGGGACACCTTCCACTATCCCAGGCTGCTCCAAGCCCCACCCAACTTGGCTCCAGGGATGGGGCAGCCACAACTTCTTTGGACACCTTGTGCCAGGGCCTCACCACCTCATAGAGAAAGATTTCTTCCCAATATCCCACCTAACCCTGTCCTCTGGAAGTCACTCCTTGTCCTGTCCCCCCACGCACAGGGATTAACATTAACAGCTAAATATGCAACATTCATTTGAAAAATCTGTTGATTTTTAAATATGCCCAACAAAAAGCAAGGGCATCACCACAGAAATGGATGTTACTGCATTCTGCAGAAAAAGTTACAATAATTGTCATGTATTCACTGACACACTACAAATCCAGGAAGGTAAATTTAGTAGAAAAGCAGCTGAACAAAGTCATGTCTGCATCTCAATCAGTGACTAAGAGGCTGTTGAGAGACTCAGGAAAGAAAGAAATCAAACCAAACAAAGCAATCTTGGAAAAGAAAAAGGTCCAGATTTTAAACTTACTGTAAAAATTCTCCTCCCACTGCGATCAAAGGCTATGCAATAAACAGAGGAGAGGTGCCCCAAAATCCTCTTGTGCATCTTCATGTGTTGGTAGGTGGATGTTGGGAACAAGTGGCTGAAACGGCCACATCCAGTTAATTGCCTGGCAGAAAGGATATGAACTAGGAGAGAAAAAAAGAAGCAAAAAGAAGAGTGAGACTTGAATTTTGTCCAGAACTCAGAGTAAATAAATATTAAATCAAATATAGTATTTATTAGCAACTTTATTATTAGAATCAGTAATAAATCTGAACCTCTTCCACCTTATCAGAACATTCTGTCCAGTGTTATAAAAAGAAATCCCACTCCTGATGGGGCCTTTCAATACCCACCACAAGCTGCACCTGCTTCCTTACCAAAAATGAAAGCAGAAAAAAGTTCCTACCACAACTGGGAGTTATTCCAATGTCCAATTCATGAACAGGTAACAGACACATTTATCCTACATGGACATGGAAAATCTTAGTGGAAAATCTTTGAAGGAAGAAAGGAAATTTAGGAAATTACATGTTACTAATATCAATTACAAAAAGAGTATAATAATAGTTTATTTTAAGTGCTTTTTTGTGATAAAAGAAGTGATAAAAATATTTCCTTGGAATGGCAACCAGATCATTTGTGAGTGCCATAGGACTTCCACATCCACACCCCTGCATTCCCATGGCCATGGAATTAACAAGGAATAGGTGGCACTGATGGAAAAATCCCAGAGGGAGAATGGCAGGTAGGAGAAAGAACTGCAACAACAACAAACTCCTTCCCATTTCCACAGCCAGCAGCCCTTCCAAGAACAGTCTAAAACTTAAATGCAAAACCCATCCTGTAAAAAAGCTTTTGATTGGATGCACAATTTGAGACCATTTTGGGGTATTTAATTTCACCAATCCTCTCCTATTACTATTTTCCCTAACCTATCCTCACTCATAGCACTTGAACTTTGGATTTGAAAGTTTTGAGAGGGTTTTTCAGTGGCACTTGAGGATCTAACAGAGCTGTGCTGGTGGGTTTGTGGAGTCCTTGTGATAACAGATCCCCTGCAGCAACTCCTTATCTTCCCCTGCACCTTGCTGTGGGCTGGGCTTCACAGGAACCCCACGAAGCTCTTTAGTGCCTTTCACTTCTTTAGCTTAACAGTCTAGTGAAAAATTCGAGCTATTTCGCAATTGTCTCATGATATCACTGCCAATCTACACAAAAAAAGATCACGGAATACATTAAAAAATTAATCTACAAAGTCAAGAAGTGCCATTTCAAAGGGTTGCTAACCCATAACTCCATGTGTAAATTGATACCATTGAAGTATTTACACACAAGCAAGGAAAAGAAATTGTTTCCAGCTTCAAATAAAGCATTTTTGTGTCTCAGTTTTAGGCTCTGCAATGTGGATTATTTTTAATCACTCAAAGCAATAGAAACATGACACATGAGGGGAAAAAAAGCTGCATAAAAGATGCTTGCAAAAAGCCATCGGGCCCCAGCATAACCTCACCTTCAGTCAATATTTGCTTTGCATGTAAAAACACACATTCAGCAATACTAAAAAGCAAACCACACTAACACAAATTAATTTACTACCTACCTACTATTCAACTGATACCTGATATTATACAAGACTGTTAAACAAAACTGTCTCCCTAAGCAAAGTAAAACTGAAATTTTAAACTCTTTTTCCTACCTCCAACACAGAGATCCTGCAGGGATAAATGCTCTACAAGGAACCTCAGCTTTGCCTATACATTATTTTATTTACTCTTCAAGTATGACAGCTTAAAAGCTGAATTCTTTAAAAGATCACACCTCCCTTTCCCCCACCCTGTAGGCCAACAGAGACGTGGAGCCATTCAGCAACATGGTGATTGTGCTGTGCTTTTCAAGGCTTCAAGCATTTCAATACACATATATTTATATCTTCAAATACATAATAACAGTGCATCTGTGCCTATAAGCAATTTCAAATGGCTTCGAATATTTTTTTAACCACATAAAGAATCGTGTGAATAAAAAAGATACACTCTCACGTCAAAATATTCCTAATAATCACAATATTTTCTGTGTCCCCCTGCAATCCTTCTGAACATTTACCACTGCTGTTTGTTGTAAACCCCAGGAAGGAAGCACCAAAAGGCACCAAAATCCCACAGTTTTGGCACCTCATTTTTCCAGTCGATTCCCAGCCTTGCAATCAGTTCAGCTTCAGCGGATATGAAAGTAATTTCTTTTTTTTTTTTTCTGTGTTTATTTCTCTATTTGCACAATAGGGACAAAACTTCTCATCTCCCATGGATAATTACCAAATAAAAAGCCCTGTTTATGAAATGCTTCAATAAGAGACATCCAGAACTGTTGAGCCATGAGGAGCAACAACTTTATCAAGGCAACACGATCTTTGGAAAAAAAAAAAACAAAAAGTATCACTGCTTCAAAGGAGCAAACCAAACATTCTCCATTCCTGTAATTTTAGGAAGATTAATACACAATACCTAAATAGGGAATTACCCCCACATGACAAAAATCCCTGTCAAGTTTCCTTTCCACAGCACAATGAAGTTATTGTCCTCCTAAGGCCTCAAAGCATTAAAACCCAACAACAATTCCCACATGGAGAAACAGCAACTTAGTAACCCTAAAAAATTTTACTAACCTATCTCATTAACTGATGTATTTCATGCCACACTGGATGTAAGAGCTGCCAAGTCCACCCCCTCGCTATTCCCTGCCAGGAAAAATTTTCAAGACACTTATTTCCCATAAAAAGGGAGGAGATCCAGCCTTCTTGATAAGAAAAGTTAGTTTTGTCCCGACACTGAAGGGCCATCTCAGCTCCTCCAACTACCAACCTGTAAAATACAGGCATTTTTCCCTTTCTTCCCCACAGTCCTTGGTCCTGGGAGGCCACACCTTGAGGAAAATTGCAGTTCTTAATGCAAGTCACATAAACTGACAACAGCAATTCCTAAATCACAATTTACCTCACATTCCACTACAGGTAACGGCACAACCTAAAAACCCTCGCAAGAAAGTTCACCTAGGAAGGAGAAACCCCACACTCAGCAACAACAACCCACCAGTGAAAGCTAGATTTAAAAAACAATCATCAGACAGCCCAGACTTCAAAGTTCAATCAGAACCTCAGAAGGAATTCAAGAATTCCAGTGAGGCAAAGTCACTGAGCAGCACCAGCTGGAATTCCTGCTCTCCCTAAAAACCCTTGTCTCGATCCACTTTTTGCAAGGAAAATTAGAAAATGGGAAACTGGTGCAAATGTTTGTTTTAAAATCAGTTTCTCAGGGGTGATGAGCTCCTGTCAGACTGTTTTACCTTCTGCAAGAAGCACTGCGGCTTTGTAATGAGGACCTAGATTTTACCCCCATCACAAATCCGAGCAGGGATCGGGTACCACCCATGGGAGAGACACAAGCCAGGATTTCACAGGAATGCCAGGAAACCAACACAGTTGGCTCCCACGTGGAAAACACCTTCTCAGAGGGTGGCTGTGCGTCCACAGAGAGCCTGGACCCAGGAAAAGCAGTGAAAGCACAGCGTGTCCCAGCTCTGGGAGCTGCTGACCTCATGGAACTCATTTCCAGCACGAACCATCATTGATTCCTGACCTCATCCCAGCGCTGCTCTTTGGCAGGCCCAAGGTAGCTGGATCACCTTGACTGTGAATTTCCATGAGCTGAAATGCTTATTCACTGAGACTGTGCTGAAAACCTTCTCCTTCCAAATTTTGTGTTGTTTTCACTAACAACAGCTGCCCACAGAAAGATTTCCATCCTCAGGTTAGAGCAGCTCTTAAAAAGAGTGAAAACAACTTTCTTTCTGATTTGCTCTGAGCTGCCTGCAAAAAAAAAAAAAAAAAAAGCCCTGACAAAATCGAAGGAGCATCAAAAGCAGGTTTATCAAAGGGGAATCACTCCCAGTCCTGAGGTACTGCATGACCAGTCTTTCCACTTTCAGTCTGCAAGAGCACAAAGGGAGCCCTAAAAGTTCCACTACAGTAAAAGATACCCAGAAAGGCTCGAGCAGACTCTCCTCCTCCATGTCATCCTGCTGGCAGCAGGAAGCTCTGCCAGTGTTTTCCCTCCCTGTCCCCTTCCAGCAGATCACCACATCCCTGGGAATGATTTCCACAGCTCAGCACTTTCCCAGAGACTCCCCCACCCAGGAGATTCCCAGCTCTGCACAAACACACTGGGAAAAGGCCACATGGATTTCCCACTCCAGTTCCACTGTGCAGGACCTTTCATTTTGGAGTATGGACCACAAGATCCCATCCCAACCACCTAAAAAGGCAACCACTGCAACTCCCAACTCTTGCAGCTGGGCCCTCCCAGTTGATCCCAGCTGGACCATCAGTAATTCCATTCTCTCAGCTTTTATGGTGGAAAGTTTAAATCCTTATCACTGGAAGGGAAACGATGTGAGACTACTCCTGGCTGCTCATCCTATACCTAATTTACCACTTTGCACAGGTACTTACACAATCACCTCACTCCTGAATACACATCAATGGGTTTCTTTTACTTCAGCCCAACTCCTCCAGCAAGTAATTCCAGAAAAGTCCATCTGCCTGAGCCAGCACGATGTGGGAATTCACAGTTATGCCAAAATACCAAAGAGGTCGGGCACACTTCTTCATCTTGTACTTCAGACACACACACACACACACACACTGCAGCATCTCTGGCTGGCAAAACTCACCAGGAAAAAAACACCCATTTTGCACAAATAGGCACAGAATTTTCTGACTTCCTCTTCAGGATTAAAAAGAAACTTCTTCCAAAATCAAACTTTTGCCCGAAGTCAAATCCATATTTTAATATTTATGCACATTTTCCTCTCTTAGTAGTAGTTTATGTAGCTACACCAAAGGACTGAATTTTTCCAGGAATCAATACTTATAAAAATCATTTCCTGGCTATGAAAGACCCTTTTCCATATAATACCTTTGTATTTCTTAAAAAAAAGAAACAATTAGGAAAACATCCAAACAAAACAATTATTCTGTTTTTTAATTCACTAAATTGTTACCAAGCAAGCAGCACAGCCCTTTGCCATGAAAGCATGACAAATGCTAAAGTCCAATCTGCCAGGATGGCTCATTAATAATACCACATATTCCAAAAACACCCAGTCTGATGAAAGAATTGATCCAAGAATCCATGCAGAAATACAACCAGAGGAGTTGTGTGCAATAAATCTACAATTCAGACCATTAGTAATCCATCAGCACAACTGCTCACAGTAAAGCAACTGCAGAACCAGCCTAAAATAATAAATACACAGAGAGGGTAGAAACAGAAAACTGCCAGCACCATCCCTACTTCTCCAAAGGGAGGAAGGATCCATATATGAAAGGACTCCCTGACAAACCAGGAAAATGTATCCATTTGCACAAACAGAGATAAAATACCCCAAAAAGAAACAAACCAGGATTTACTTTTATGCCTGCAAGAATCAATTTTTTTTGCTATAAAAACAGTTAATGAAAGTTCAAACCATACAAGGCAAACACTTGAGTTTATATAAAACAGAGCAGCTCTGTGATGAGATGTAAGCTGAGAGCCCACATATATCTGAGTTTTATACAAGCTCTTTATCTAATTGTGTGGACAACTGAGGCTGAAGGAACACAAATGTTGCTTTGGTGATTATTTCCTTTTTGGAGAGGGATGTTGCAAGCAGTCTGTTTTCTGTCATAATCCAACTAAAAGGAATTCTTGAGTAAAAGAAGTTCCCTGGGAGCCAGACTCTTTGTTCTGGCTAAGATTCCATGATGATTCCAGGATTCCATGCTCCTGTGAGCATGCACATCCAATCTTACAACCACATGTACGTATTATGGAGGCAAACCATAAAAAAATACTTAAGCCCAATGCCCTCCAAACAGCCATGCAAAACATGGCTAAACACACTGTGGAAAATCCAATCCTGAATAACACAAAAATTATTCTATTGTCAGGGAGAGACCTATTTTAGACTAATTCATCATGAATGTCAGAGAAAGCATTAATACAAGCCCAGAGCAGTGTTTTAGTCAGTGAGACGAACTTTCTGTGGGGTGGGAATAAATACAGAGAGGAGAAAAGAATATTTAATGGACTTGCAGACTCACCCACGTTTGGTGGTTTTCCATAGTTCACTGGGAGTTCGGGGGGTCGGCCCCTGTGCAGAGCTGCAAATGCAGATCCTTTCCATAGTGTGTGTCTGAAGTCTGCACCAGCAAGAGTGACAAGGGACAAGAAATAATCAATACATTACATAATCAAGAGATCAAGCACCACTCTCAACAGCCCAGAATAAGATTTGTCTGATTAAACACTTTGTCAGATTCCTCATTTAAAGATTGCGACTCTGATTTCCAGTTCCTCGGCAGCGTCACTGTAAATGGTTTCAACTTATTTTTGCTTAATTTGAGTGATTTTTGACTCTAAATTCATGGAGAGAAGAAGTGAATTTAAAAAGTGGGTGCACTTTATACTGAGGCCCAACTGAACTCTGCCATGTTTTGCTTTTGCAATGCCAACACTTAAAGCACCTCTGCTTAGGAACTGCACATTTGAGAATTCGCATTTTGCTGCCTGAAAGTGAGAGAAGTGAGGTTTTTTTCCAATAAATCTGTTTTCCTGCAATATGTGGCAATGTGCCCTCCTTTCAGATTGTCCTCTGCACCCCAAGCCCCCCGCCTCCCCCCCAAAAAATCATTGTTTTAAAGTGAAGACTGTTCTCTTTAAAGACTCTCCAGCTCTCTGCTGCCAACTGGCCTCGGAGAGGCTCCTCTCTAGAACAATAGTGATTTTTCTGAGACTGTTCAAAGTGCCTCAGAAATTAGACCTGGATTTCTTCCATTTCTGGCCATCTGGAGGGAGAGAAATGAGCTTCCACGGTGAGTAAGTGCTGAAACAGAAGGACAGTGCCGCAGGTTGGTGGATCTGTGCAGCACCATGTAGGTCTCTGAACATAAAGTGCACAAGCTGAGGTGACTCAGAGACTCCTGAGAGCACCTTCTGATTAAACCCCAAACTGCTGCACAGAGTATTAAATGATACTCATTAAAAACAGCACTCAGACTTCCTAAAATAGATCCATCCACCTAAATCCTTCTGTTCCCCTGCAGAAAAATGTTTATTTTCTCTTTACATTTTGCTGCTGTTTGCTTCTAAGCTGCAAACTGAGTGTGCAAGCTTTCTCTGCAAACCTGGATTTCTGCACCTAATTACAGCAAAGCACAGGCAAAACAAGACTCAGTCCCAGAACTCTGTAGGGCCACATGTTTGGGAACAGCTCATCCCTCCAGGAGAGATCCAATGGATGGGCAGATGCTCGGTGTGACTTCACAGCATACAGGGAATTAAGTGCTCAACTGCCACCAAAACAGGAAGGTCCTGCTCTGCCATCCCTCCTCCTCTCCCAGGACAATGCTCCTCCTCCTGTGTCACCTCCAGCCCTGTGATCCTTCTCCACCAGCTCATTTAATTCACTACAACAAATTTTGCAACATTTCAGCTCCCTGAATCAGCACATCCCAGGATCAAGGAAGTTCTGGCTCCTGCAGGGAGGAAGTGGCAGGGGCATGGAGTGAGGAGGGAAGGAGGAATCACTTCAATAGCAGATGGCTCTCAGATCTCTTTAGTTCTAACACAAAACTGCTCTCAGGATCATTCTCTCAAGCAGAGAGAGTTTTACAAAGGGAAAAGGACTGGTGCTCTTTTCATGAAAGGAATGGGGGCTTTCAAATTAACCTGAAGCAAGGACAAGCAGGAATTGTCATTGAAGAATCAGCCTGGCCTTCTCCTACTCCCTAAATGCTGTCCCAAATGCCACCACCCTGTCCTGTGTCTGCAGAGCCAGGGAGTCAAAGAATGGAAAAAACCAGGCTGAAAAGCAGCCCAGCTCAGTGATTTTAGGCACAGATGTGTGTAAATGTACACGGAAAAAAAGGCATTTTTCAGACACATCAAACCTCTAATCCCATTCACATCATTTACACAAACACCAACACACTGGGGAAGGAGGCAGAGGAAGTAACAAGATCAGGCAACCATAGGCAAGAATTCCTTAAAATAGCATTTTCAAACCAAAAAAATACATCCAACAGGGCCAGCAACAACTGCATTTTAGGAAGAAAAATGCTGCCAAGCACAGGAGACAAACCAGGGCTCATGCAAACACACAGATATCCCGACAGGAATGGTAACAAAAGGGGGTTAATCATTAAAATAGAATTCAAGCCCAGAGAAATTGAGAATCTTACCTTTTGCTGCCCTCAGGAGAGACTGGCGCCCCACACCCAGCAAAGTCTGCACCCCCAGGACACTCTGGGGGATTTCCTTGTCTAAGAGGGGTCCAAGTCTCTCACAGATCCTAAGAAGATAATCCGGAGGGATGTGTGCATTGACAGCCACCTAAACACACAAACAACACAGACATTTGCAAACTGGTTTATTTTTCCTTGAACTGGTAGCACTTTGCTTGATATTCAAGTGTAAATTCACTGCAAACAAGCTTAAATTCCCTGAAAACTCCCTCAAAATTAATTATATTGCATTTTAAAGTGATGGGGAATGTTGCAAAAGCCACATCAGAAATTTCAGGTTGTAACAGCTTAAATTGTAAATTTATCCCTTACTAAGAAACAGTGTAGTGCTCTGCTCAAACAAGTTTTTTTAAGTCTTTTTTACCTTTCAGTTAATTCTCTTCCCATTTTTTGCTTAACTGAAACACCCTTGCATTGACATCACATGTGCTAAAGAATAAAAACCTTAAAAATTACCTAAAACCCCTAAAGATTACCCTAAAATCAATACTCAGTCTCCACTTTCCAGCTCCTGGGAGTAGGTATCTTTAAGACCCACATGTGTAAGCTCCAATTTTGTCATGTTGGGAAAACATCCTTTATTTTTCCCTTTGGACAGAGACTGTTTTCTATGGAACAACAACAGTTTTTTCTGACACTGTTCAAACAACAAATAAATTGTGCCTCATTATCCAGAATGTCCTGCACTGCCTGACTCCTACATTTACAAACTGGCAGGAAAAGCTGCCCATCAGAGCTCCTTTGACACAGGACACACAGCTCCATCCACCTCTTTTCATGGATCAACAGCCTCCTGCCTACCCTGATCCCAGGGATGTGCCCAGCTCCTGCCCCAGCACACCAGAGGGAGTGCCAGGCATCAGGAAGGAGGAGAAGCTCTGTAATTCCCTCAGCCCTGCTGCCAAAACATTGTTCACTCAACTGTGTCATCAAACAGATTATTAGGACACGTCGTTGGGAATTTTTTCATTCCAGTTGGGTAACAGCAGTGGAGCTACATGACCCAGCACAGGATAATGTCACCACCTGCACCATGAGCAGGATCAACACTGTCCCATATTTCAGATTTTAACCAAAAAGAAAAGGGAAATAGATCTCATTAAATATACAAATTATCAGTTAACTAAACCCAGCTAAAAACTCTTGCAATGTGAAGGAAACTCTTGGAGAAGAGTTTCCTCCCTCTACTCACCCCTCAGTCACTGCTGGTGAAAGAATCATCTCATCAATCATGATAATTCTAAAGACCCCAAATCATCCTTTTTTCAGTGCAGGAATGAGAAACCCGATGAGTGCATTACCATGTTCTCATTCCAAGACTTTTCATCCTGTGAGTGAGCATTGAGGAATGACCCTGTGAATGCTCTCCTGCACTGACAGGTTTCTCCAGTCATTTTATCTTTTCTCCCTAAAATCAGAGTTCCAAAATTATACTGGCACCTTGCCAGTGGTACAGCCAGCAAAGTTCAGTGTATGAGCATGAATTGTCTTTCACTGTAAATGATGGGATATAACAGAAGTTGAAATGAGAGAAAAGGATTATCCAAACTTTGGTATTTGCCTCTCATTCTGACTCATTCCTGAAACATTGTAAATATGTTCATGTTACAAAATATTTTATGATGCTGCACCAGCTTCCCTTCAGTGTGTAAGATTTCTGAAAGGGTCTGAAAGGGAAGTTCTAGAGAGAGAATCTGCAGCTAAGTAAAATCTGAGTATGAAATTCTTATTTCCATCTTGATAACCAGCAACAAACCCCTCAGTGACCAACTGCCAATACACAGTGATGCATCAACCTTAAGATTAAAGGATCAAAAACACCAACCTAGAAGCTCTGAAATTTTACTTCCAGAGCACCAAAAGAACCCAAACCATACCATTCTCTCTGGAAATGTAAAAAATCCAAACAATTTTCCCAGTGTAGCATAGCAAACACTCCTCTCTTCACCCTGGAGCTGGGCTGGGAGTTTCACCATATTCTGTGCTTAGGAAGGTGCTGAATGAAGCCTGGCAGCAAATATCCCACTGCAGAGACAGAGCCCAAGGTGCTCCACAAGCAGTCCTGACTAACTCCAAAATGGAAAAGGGTTTGGTGGCTTAAAGATGAAGGCACAGTTTTGTAGGGAATAGCAAAGAGCAAACACTGACACACACAGACAGCATTCCCTGATCACACTCCTTTCCCTGCACATCTCCATGTTTCTACAACCCACAACAGCCCCAAATAAGCAATAAGCCCTTAATCTGAATATTAGCACTGCTGTTACTAACAAACAGCTCCATAGGCAGGCAGCAAGAGCAGCAAATTCTCCTGGTGATTTTTTTCCATAATAACTTCCAGAAAAAATGCTTAAATCACAGCCCAGAGCTAAACAAGCAATTCTATTTTCAGGTTCCCAGAAGAACTTGAATCAAAAACCCTTCCTTTCACCTCTGTATGAGAGTTGTAAATGGTTTTTAAGTATTTTTCTAGAACATGAAGTTGCAAACATCCAGCTGAAAAAAACCAACGTTTCTCAGATCAGATTTTCCTTAAAGGAAGGATGGAAAAAGGCAAAGGTACAGCTACACCTCTTAGTGTGTGCTTGTCCAAATCCCACGTGGCAAAATGAAACAGTAGCAAGGATATTATCAACTCCTCAAACATATCAGAAAATATTTCAGAATATAATGAGTAAATATTTCAGAAAATAATCAGAAAAATGGAAAAAAATAGAGATGAGTAATACAGGCCCAAAACATGCACATTAAAATAATGCAGAGCTGAAAACCTGCTAAGTGAGAACAAATGCTGCATCTTGGGATAAATCATAAAATATGTTTTGTTGCCTTAGGATGTGAAAATCATATAAAAGTTAAAACATGAGAGCACAAGAATGGAATAGAACCAGGTGAATTCTCTGACACAGTAACCACAGTTGTACAATGGGTCTAAAAAGTGAAGGATTAAGTGAAACCAATCTATTCTTCTAAAAAAATCTCTTTTTAAAAAACTCCCCCAGTCCTGACTGCTTGAGCCAGGCTGAGATAAGCTGCTCCAGTGATAAGCACAGGCACTTCTATTAGTGAAGTCACATCAGGGCTTGGAGAAATTCAACCCCTAAACCTGCTCATGGTCCTGTGGTTGGAAGTATCATCTCAGAGACCACGAGCAGAGAGTCTTCCCTGGAGCTGGGAGAAGCAGCTTCTTGACAGCTGAAACAAAATCCGCTGGTGTGACTCTGATCCCTGTTTGGACAATGCCCTCAGGCACAGGGTGGGATTCCAGGGGTGTCTGTGCAGGGACAGGAGCTGGATTTGATGATCCTTGTGCGTCCCTTCCAAATCAGGAGTCTGTGATTCTACAGCTGCTGACAACTCCTCCTCCAAGGAAGGTTTCAATAAACAGGGAACAAACAACCCAAAAAAGACTCTTCATGATTACTACTTAAAGGAAGATATCTGATTTGCCAGAGATGGGAACCAGGGAGCCCTGGGAACCATCTCTTTTGGGAAGCCCAGTGGAACATCTCTTCAAAGCACACATCTGGGGCAGAAGCTGCAGACTGGAATGAGGCTCTGATGCAGCCCTTCAGAGGCTGCTCTGTCCCCATTCCTGCTGGGCCTCAGCAGTGGATTTCTCCCCTCCAGGTAGTGATCCAACACTTCCCTCATTTGCCAAAATAACCATCAATTAAGAATCAATTGACAACTGTATCAAAAAGCAGTGGAGGAGGCCAAGAGGCCGAGGCAGCTGAGCAAGCAGGAAATTACTCACGACCTCAAATAGGGAATGTCAGCAAAAGGAAGCTCAGACACTGGACCCGCACAAAATGCCAACAATATGCAAATAGACTGGAATTAAAAAAGCCTTTACCCACTGGGGTCCCTGGAGAGAACAGGTTGGAACGACCAGGCTACCAGATGACATTTTCCTGAAGTGACAAAACTATAACATCTCTGCTCTGCTAATGCTGGGATTGGCAGGATCTATAAATACCAGCACCTCGGACTCAGGGCTAGTTTTAAATCAATGCAGATGGGCAAGGCAGGAACTCAGAGCCAAATCCCATAAGCTGTTCCATACCAGCACAGCCGCTCATGGATGCAAATTCCCCACTATCCAACAACAGCTGATTTTCTGTTTTGCATAGAATTACATGTTTTTCTGCACAAAGACCAAAGCAGGCTGAGCCAGAAGACTCAACTCATTAGAAAGTTCTTAAAACCAGAGCAGAGCCAGTCACCTTTATCAGGAATAAACAAAGATAATGTGGAACAGCAGGTCACTGGAGACTGGGCTGATAATCGGAGTCGTTCAGCTTGACTCATCTGTACAGCAGCTGACTCCACACCGAGCTGCTGTGGTTCATTTAAAACCAGAGCACTAATTGCCTGCAAGTTGGACACACTTCAGACCTTTGTAAGGTTGGGCTGGGCTGGATGAGGCTTGGAGCAACCTGGTCTAGTGGAAAGTGTACCTGCCCATGGCAGGAGGTGGAATGGGATGGGCTTGAAGCTCCCTCCCAATCCAAACCAGTCTGGGATTCTGTGATTCACTGACCTCCCCTTTACAAACACATCTCATGGCTCAAGATCACCAGCAGTCACTGAGGAAGTAAAACCACTGTAGAGTACACCTGGAGAATTCAGCCTGGAGAAGAGAGAACTGAGGGGAGAGTTATCCAGGGCTGCAGCTCCCTGAGAGAGGGGCAGGACCCAGGGAATGGCTGGAAGTGTGTCAGGGATATTTAGGTGAAGATCAGGGAAAGGTTCTTCCTCCAGAAGGTGTTTTGGCACTGAACAGGCTCCCAGGGAATGGAGAGTTCCAGGAAGGTTTGGACAGCACTGCCAGGGATGCCCAGGGTGGGATTGTTTGGGTGCCTGTGCAGGGACAGGAGCAGGACTGACGGTCCTGTGTGTCCCTTCCAGCTCAGGATACTCTGTGACTCTGTGATTACCTAAACAGGCAGCCACATGCTCCAGGCAAAAAGTGCTCCAACGTGAAAACAAACAGGAAAAACAAAGGGAACATAAATGCACATAAACTTGCATTCTGTGTGGTTTTGCTCCATAGGTACAATTGTTATTAGCATGTCTTAAATTACTCGTCTGCCCTGTGATACCTGACATTTAAAGTAAAAGATTAAGTTTAAGAAAAAAAACAAGGAACAAAGAAATCTCACAGTGAGCTTTCAGATCTTGCCTAAAAACTGGAGTGAAGTGGGAGTAAACATTCCCTAGATAAAAAACACCCAGTAGCCATTGGGCTGTTCCATCTTTATCACTCCCAAAAGCCCAGGAGCAGTAACAACATACTCAGTGGTCACAGTATTGGCATATTTTCTGAAAAACACCACCCGGAACCTGAACAGCCACACTGAGGATGGAAAAAGCTGAAATACCAGAACAAGAAATACTCTGTCTGAATATTGTGCAAACAAACAAATCAGACTTCTCTGGGTTGTAAACTTTCATGAATTCAATTACCTGCCTGACCAGAGTAGCTGCACCACCCAGCTGAGATTGTAAATGATTCTGGGTTTCTGTCTGTAAAAAGGAGAAATGGGTAGGAAAAAAACCCTTTACCTCCAACTGCTGGCATCTCCAATTTAATTTTGGTTCATTATGTGCCTGAGATAATTAAAATGAAGGTCGGAGTGCTTTGTGTCCTTCACAACCCTGGCTCTGTTCTGAGCATGGCATTCAGACATCCAGCCAGCCCTGAAGTCGAGGAGCTCAGGTTAATAAACAATCATATGCAGCCAAAAGTCCAAATTCCAAACACAGAAAACCCTAAGCAATGAGGGAGAAAAAGCCTTTCTTCAACATCCTTAACACTCTGAGGATTCACAGAGAGAAACAGCTCATCCTACCTGGCATCAACCTGTCTCACTGTAATGATTCATTTATAATCCTGATCCTTACTGCAAACCATGAGAAACAGTTAAATAATACCAGATTAAAAGGCAAACTAAAAGCATTGCTTAGTACTGATTAGTTTAAGACACAAGGAAAAAAATCTTAAATTTAATTATGATATGAGTTTATACAGAAAGAAGAAATTTCTCATTAACTCCAAAACTCACTTCAAATTGGTTTTTCTCTCATTTCTAAAATGTTAAAGAAAAGTACCTTTCAACATGTTCACACACACATTAAAAAAAAGGTTTTAAGGCTTTTATATCTGTGCCACAGAGAATGAAAGGAAAAAAAATCATATGTTAATTGAAATAATAGGAAAAACCACTCTCTCTGACACCAGACTTGACAGTGGCACTGCTAATATTCCTCTTGGATACTGGGTGCAGTCCCATGCTAAACCTGAGACAGCCCACAATTAGATTTCAGATTCTCTAGGAAAGCCATAGAGCACCAAAATTTATTGAATGCAGAACTTGCTCTATGTCTGCTCACTCAATTCACAGTGCCAGAATTATCCACAAGAGGTGTGAGGAAGCCCAGCTTCCATCTGAAATTCTGAACAGGCTTTGGAAAGGGAAAAGCAGCGGGTCCAAAGGTCTCCACTGGGCACAAATTCTGTCCACACCTGAGCTCCTACAATGTTGCTAAAGTGGGAAACCAGCTCCTGAGCCAGATGCAGAGGAGTTTGAGCACCAGTCACGGCAAAATCCCACGTCACCATCGCTCCATGGGAGCGGGAGAGGCCAGGACGTGCTTTCCATTCCTTCCAGGTGAGGTGCCAGCGCTGGTCACAGGTATCAGTGCCATAAACGCTATTGGGAAGTTTACAGCGTTCCAACTGCGAAGTGCTACATCAGCACCACACGTCACTGCCCAGAGCTCCCAGAAATGAAACCAAGGCTGTCTGGACCCTTTGGAAAAGGACTGGAATCCTTCAGTTTTGTGGTTTTCACATAGACACATCTCCGGGGGTGCGGGGCCAAGGGCCACCCCCCACCCCCGGCCTTGCGGAGGGACTGACCTTCCTCAATGACACACATCCATAGGGTTTATACCTCACCAAAAGCCGCCACTCCGTGTATTTCACCGGCATTTAACAGCCACAACACCACACTTCCTAACCCCTCCTTTCCTGCCTGACAGCAGGCCCAGACGCCGCGGTGAGGGGCGGGTTTCGCGCAGGCCGCCGCAGGCCGGGAATCCCTGACCCAGCCCGGCAGCGCCGGGCCCGGCGGCACGTCCGGCACGTCCCCCACCCCCGCCGGGCCGCGGGAGCGCGGCCGAGCCCGGCCCGGAGCGAGGCAGCCCCGGGGGTGCAGGCGAGGCGGCGGCGATGGCGCGGGGGGACCGGGGGGGACCCGCGCCCCGCGCCCCCCGCCCCGCCGGCTCCGCCGCGGCGCCGCCGCAGCCAATCAGCTGCCGCCTCACATCGCCGCGCACCGCTCTCCGCGTTGTAAGGCGCAGCGCCATTGGCCGCGGCGGGCCCCGGTGCGTGCCCTCGGATAACCCCCGGCCCCACAATAGCGCGGCGCGGCCGCTCCGCCGGTGTTACCGGGCGGCCCACGGGGGGTCTCACCGGCATCCCTCAGCCCCGCCGCGCCTCCGCTCCCTGCCCTCCCCTCCGCTCCGCACCCCGCGGCCCGCCGCGGCCTCGGCGGGGCGCAGCCCGCAGCCCTGGTTGGGGGGGAACACACAAACGGGGCGAGCCAGGGGGGACGCGGCGCCCGGTGCGGCGGCGGCGGCGCGGGGGGCGGGAGGAAGTTGTCGGAAAAGTCAGGAGTGAAACTTGTCTTACCAGGTCTTCGAAGCTCCGGCGGTGCTCCTTGCCCTGCCAGTCCAGGCGCCGCGGAATCAGCTGCGGGAGGGACACGGGGACGGGGGCGGCCGTCAGAGCCCGAGCGACCCCTCCCCGGGAAGCCCCCCCCCCCGGTGCCCGCCCGCGCCCCCCGGGATGGAGCCCCCGGCCGCTGCCCCCGGCCCCGCTGCGGGGCAGCCGCGCTCCCGGCCGGTGTCCCGGGCGGAGATGGGCTGGGTTAGACGGGGCAGGGCAAACGCCGACCCCGCCGTCCCGAGGGCTTCCCCCGTCCCGCCGGGGCAGGCGCCTCACCTGGTGCTCCTCCAGCTCCTCCACCAGTACCTAGGGACAGAGGGACACACAGTCACACACAAAGGACGTGAGTCCGGCGACCGCAGCGCAGCGGCTCCGCCGCCCCGTCCCATCCCGTCCAGTCCCGTCCCGTCCCGTCGCCGCCCGCCCGGCCCGGCCGGAGCGCCGGCTCCGCGCTCACCTGGGCGGATTTCTTGCAGGGTCCGGACTGCAGGAACCGTGCGATCAGGTAGTAGAGCTCTGCGGAGGGGCGGGGGAGAGCGGGTTAGACACGGTAAGAACGGAGAGGGTGCGGAGCGCAGCCCCCGCCGCCAGCGATACCCACCGGCTTCCAGCTGGGTCGGGGCGGCCGCCGCCGCCATCCTCCTCGGGAGGGGGAGGGGAGGTGGCGGATGGCGCCCCGGGGGGACTCGGCTCCTAGTGCGGGCGCAGCCCCATGCCGGAGCGGCGGTGCCGGTGCGGGGCGCGGGTCCCGGTGCGGGTGCGGGCGCGGGTCCCGCCCGGGCTCATCGCGGCTCCGCGGACCGAGCGCCGCCGGCACCGCCCGCACCGCCGCCGCCGGCCGCTGGGGGGCGCGCGCGGCAGCGCCGGGCGGGCGGGGGGGGCAGGAAGGGCGGGGCGGTGACGCGTCGCGGGGGGGCGCCCTCCACTTCCGGGTGGCGGCTGAGGGAGGAGGAGGAAGGGGAGGAGGAGGAAGGGCCGGGCCGGGAGAGCCGGGATGTGCCTGAGGCGTGTGGCCGCCGTCGCAGGGCAGCGCTTAGCCGAGCTGTGCATCAGAAGGCCCGGTAGCCGTCACCGGGGAGCGTTAACGGCCTCTGTCCTCGCGGCTTCGGCCCTCAGGGCCTCAGCCCTCACAGCTCCGGCCGTCACGGCCACAGTGTTCTCGGCCTCAGTGCTCGAGTCCTCCTGCCTGGCAGCGCCTAGGAAATGGAGACCGATGTGTGCCTCAGATGAAGCAGTTATAAAGAGAATTAAGGGATTCAGGAATCTTAGGGACGCTGTTAAGGATAGGGGGATGGAGCCCACGCGTGTGCCGTGGAGGGGACAGCCCGCCCGGGCTCCCGGTAAACAAGGCCTGGCTGCGGGGAAGTGTCTCAGGTTCGGGTGGCTTTAGGAGTCAGAGAAAAGTGTTTGCTCCCATTGACCAGGAAATTCAAATATGATGGACACAGCACCCCTTCTCAAGGAACAAAGTGGTCAGGGTCAGAGTAGATAGTTTTAATGGAAATAAATATTTTTTCATGTGAAGCATCCTGTCAGAGCTCGTGAAATTGGTGTCGCTTCAGCAATAAGTAGCTAAAACACATCAAGTGAATTGTGTTTTATCTCAAGTACCTGACATTTGGTATTAGAACTCCAGAGCCTTGGCAGTGTAAAAAACACTGTCATCATGAAATAACAAACGATAACCTCTCTTAATGCCTGGAATACTGAGAGCTGAATCACTGTGAGTTGATGCTTTGGAAATATTAAGAGTTTGAGCATATATTTACAGCATCTGCTCAGGACTGGGTTTACTGGAGCACTGGCTCAGTTTTCTTGCTGTGCAGTCAGGATGCATTCTTCCCTGCTGGCACCTCCATGGGATTCCTCCAGGCACCCAGCCAATCTAGGGAGAAGGATTTGGGGATTTGGCATTAAGTTGCTCCACATAATTCACCTGTACTCACCTGCCCCTTCATCCACCTGTGGAAGTTGTTTTGTGCCAGGAGCTTGGATTAGCTGGGTGATGTGTGGACCCTGTTTGCTCTTCATTGTCCTCTAAAGTTTTGGAGTTGTCAGTGACAGATGATAGGATCAGAGAATGGTTTGGTGGAAGGGACCTTAAAGCTGATCCAGTGCAACTCCCTGCCATGGGCAGGGACATCTTCCCCCATCCCAGGTTGCTCCAAGCTCTGTCCAGCCTGGCCTTGGACACTCCCAGGGATGGGGCAGCCACAGCTTCTCTCGGCAGCCTGTGCCAGGGCCTCAGCACTTTCACAGTAAAAATTTCTTCCCTCTACCCCTCCTAACCTTGCCCTCTGGCACTGGGAAGCCATTTCCCCTTGTGCCTTTCCATTTTTCTTGTAGGCTTCAAACAATTGCCCTCGGAATGTTTTCGGGGCAGGTTCATTGCTCAGCTCGGCAGTGGACAGACACAAGGTGCCACCTCACCAAGCTGCAAATTCCAGTGGTTTCCCAATAGAAACAGCTCTCCCAGCTTCCCAGCAGGACCCCAGAGCCTTCAAAGCTGCAGAGCTTCCCAGGAGAGACAGTGTGAAACTGCTGTTCTCAGAATGAATTCCCAGCCAGGAGAAGCACACACTGATCCCACTCTCCAGAGAGGTAATGTTTCTCCCACCTGTCTTCAGAGCCAGAACTGCAAGCTCATCCTTTCATGCATGATGGGAAGGCAAAGGAGACAGCCCAGATGATGTTTTATGATACGCCCTGAAAGTACAAATCCATCTTCCTGAGCTGAACAGAATTCCATGTCAGGGGAAAATCAGCCCCATAAATACTGCTCAGCACCATGTCCTGCTGCATTCTGGTGCCAACAGCTCCTTAATATGTCCATGCTTAGGTGAGACCCCCCCCCCCCCTGCTGCTTCCGTCCCTGGGATCTCCAGCAAAGGAAGGACATGGAGCTGTTGGAGCAAATCCAGTGGAGGCACCAAGATGATGAGAGGGATAGTGCAGCTCTGCTGTGAGGAAAGTCTGGGAGAATTGGGATTGTTCAGCCTGGAGAAGTTCCAGGGTGACCTAATTGTGGCCTTCCAGGGCCTGAGGGGAGCCCACAGGGGAGATGGAGACTACATGGGCCTGGAATGCCAGGACAAGAGGGAATGGCTTCCCAATGCCAGAGGGCAGGGTTAGGTGGGATACTGAAAGGAATTCTGCCCTGTGAGGGTGGGGAACCCCAGCACAGGGTGCCCAGAGAAGCTGTGGCTGCCCAATCCCTGGGAGTGTCCAAGGCCAGGCTGGACAAAGCTTGGAGCAACCTGGGACAGTGAAGATGTCTCTGCCCATGGCAGGGAGTGGGGCTGGATGAGCTTTAAGGCCCCTTCCAACCCAAACCGTTCTGGGATTCCATGATTCTGTATTTGTTTACAAATCTAACATTTCCTTGGCACTTTTTTGTGCCTTACTGAATCTCTCCACTCATGATTTGCTTTTATTGGAGCTTGGGGGTGGCACAGGTAAAACTGCAGCACCACCAGGAAGGATTGTTCTGTTTGGGCCTGTCTAGAGCCCATGGGGATTTCTGCAGTAACTAAAAAGGGCTTTGAAAGGCCTGGGATAGAAAATGCTCCCAAGTAGGCTTATCCATGCCTTGCTTGTGTTCTTCCTGCAGCCTTCCAGCTGGGAGCCTGGCCACTCCTTGCTTGGTGCTCAATCCATGACTTTGTGTCAGTGCTTGGCTGTGCTTGGTGTTGCTCCACATCGTGGCTCAGATGAATTCTTGCATCAGCAGGAGAGGAGGGTGTTGGGAATGCCCCAATGTCCTGTGTGTGCTGCAGGGCACAGCTGTGTGGGTACCTGCACCAGGGACAGGTACAACCAGCATTCCTTGTTCCCAAACAGTTCATGGGGAGCTTCCCTTGGCCTGGCTGTGGCTGGACAGTCACTCCCGACCTCTTCCCAACATTCCTGACTCCCTGGCACCTCAGCTTCCCCTCCTTAACCCTCTCCCAGTTGCTTTGTTACTCCCCAAGCCTACTACAAGGGCTGTTACCGATACCTTTTCCCACCTCTCCTGGGTTTTCCCCTCCAGGAGTCATCTCTGGTGAGTAATGCCCATCCTCTCTTTCCCAGGAGCTCCATTTCCACACCACACACGGATCCTGCAGCTCCATGACTCATCTTTTTCCAGATCATCTGCATCCAAGCAGCAGCATGCTGGGGGTGATAGTAAATCTGGGAGTGAAAGCAGGATTTTATGGATGTGCTGATTCATCTTTCCTCAGAGCAGAGCTCTGTTATGTAAATGCCAGCAGCAGCTGGTGGCAGGAGGAGGGAGAACAGACTAATGAGCCACAGAAGGATTCAGGAGCAGAGATGCTTTGAGGAAGAAGCTGGATTGTAGCTGTTTCTTTCCATACTCCTCTTTAAAGAAATAAAACCTAAAGTTTTTGACAGATTTTAGGAGTAGGAACTGCTGATGTTCAAATACCCATTGCTTCTCCCCATTTGGTGTTGTAGGGAGTTTTGCTCTCAGTTATAGTTGAGAATAAAACTCCACCTTGTGTTTAATTTGACTACAAAATTAAATGAACTTCCCCACAGTCAGCTTGTAACACCAGGTAAAGGTGTCTCTCTCATATTTTATTTATGATTATTCTGTCCTCATGAGTCAAATCCTGCTTTAGCTGTGTGTGAAAACAGGATTGTGGTTTGGCACAACCAACAATGTACGGTTAAAAATTAAAAAAAAGTTTATAGTGGAATTGTGCAGGTGTGGTGGGTTTACCTACATTGTACCTTTCCAGAAGTGTAGATAGGGATGCACATGCCTGGATTTAAACACTGCAACAAAATTAAGCTTTTTTTTTTTTTTTGTGTGTGTGTACATTTCATAGAATATGCTGAGTTGGAAGCAACCCACAAGGATTTCTGTGAACATCCTGCTCATCTTGGGCCTTTCATATGGAGATAAATGGCAAACAAGGATAGTAGTTATATTAAATCCTTTTTAAATTTTAAAGTTAAATTAAAGCTTTTGTTTAGCTGATTCAAAAATAAGAGAATGAATTTAGGAGTTGATGCCTCGTGCTACAGTTGTGACTAAAGGAATATTGAAAAGTCCGAGATTATTTTAAGATCTTTACATACAGAAACCTCAAATTTTGATATCATAGCTTATTTTTAAAAATAAATGAGGTGCAAAATAATTAGCACTAATTACAGTTGCTGGAGTGCAGGGCTCATGTGTGCAAACCAGCATCCTGTTTTTGCAGGACAAATCTCCAAGATCCCGCTCCTTCCTGTGGTTCTCTCCCTGGACAAGAGCTATTAAATGATAACTAAGTAGCTGCTAGATATTACACAAGATCTGCTCTAGGATTGTTGCTATTTTTAATAATTTAATATTTAATTTCTCTGCTGCATCATTCCAATCATTCCTCTAGATGGTGCCAGACATCCAAGAGTTGGGTGCAGCGTTATCCCGTAGGAAGGCGATGGAGGAACGGCCAGGACGCCGCTCGCCTTTGTTTCTAAATTCTATCTTGCAGTAGTTCATCTTGTTGATAAATTACTTGTTCTGGTGATATAAATATGTATTTTTTTTCCTTTTGCGAATCCTAAAATCCATTCAGCCTAAATTCCAGCTGCCTGGAGCAGTGTCATCCCTTGCTCCGTGGACTGATCCATATCTCATATTCCTTATGGCAGCCATTAGCTGCTGTGAGCTGTGATCAGTGTGTGCAGCCCTGCTGCGACTGGAGGAACTTAATCTGCCTGGTTTGCAAAGCAGTGAAATTTCTATTATCTAAACATTTCTCCCTGTCTCTATTTCACACAGAAATGCCAAATCCAGCTGTGGGTGAAACACCCAGGAAAAGGGGTGGCTCTGTGTCCCTGTGTGCTCTGGGCTCTGCCAGCAGAAGGACCAGGGGAATGATGTCAGGTCCATCCTCAGCATCTCTGAATTCCAACTTTGTGCCTCAAAATGCCTGGAACCCCTCAAGTTTTATAGCAGCAAAATTACTACTGGGTGTAGGTGACCAGGTAGGTTTTGTTATTGCTGCTGTTACTACTGCACTCAGCATGATTCCTGTCTAAGGGCCTCATTCTCACCTGTGTCCCCTCATTGGGATCAGCCCCCTGTTCCAAACCTTTTCCAGCTTCTCCTGACATGCCTGTGGCTGCTACCAGTCCAGGGGTCCCCTGCATAAAGATCTTGCCCCAAAAATACCACCTGATATCACTACTGGGCTAATTCAGCAACTTGAAGTCATGCTAAAGATTTGTAAATAATCCTTTGATTTTTTTTTTGTGATTTTTCTTTTTAGATTTTTTTAGGGCTAAATCCTGCATTTTTTGCTTCTCCTAGAAGCCTGGGCACAAAGTATCTCAATGCAACTGGGAATTCATCACCTCTCTCCCTTGGACATGCAAATTTTACTGGAACTCCTCAGCTAAGTAAACAATTTTAATAAAATTACATCCCTCTGTATCCATACCCCTTTCCATAAAAAAAGTTTTGAGAATGTTTTATGTTTCAATTATATTTTTCATTTTACAAAAATATCAGAAATATTGGGAAGGAGTGCAATAGGGTTTTTTTAGAGTGCTGCTTTTATTGAAATAAAAGGTTATAAAACAATTTGATGTATTTTTTATATTTATTGATATCTCTAACAGGCAGACATTGTAAATAAGCTCATTAATACTCTTTAAATACAGTCTTATACAATTAATTCTCAATTACTGCATGAGGTGATGGATTAGAAAGCTGTCCTGTGTAAATTTGCCCACAGGAGTGTGAGTTTAGAATGAACTTTCTAAGTCACTAATCATGGAATCCGAGGATGGAATTTTGGAACATTTCTCAAAGTGCTGTCCCATACAGGAATTCTCTCCCCATTATTTTTATGTATTGATTATAAAGTCTCTTCTTGTGATCTTCAATTTGAGGTGATGTCTCCCTCTTTCTAAAGGAAAAGCTTTAACATGGAAACTTCTATAAATTCCTCTGAAGTAGTGTGATCTCATCTTTCATTCTTTCATCATTTAATGGACATTCACATTCTCCTGTAGCCTTCCAGCTTTGTATCTCTGGAGAAGTCTTTCCCCTGATGTCCTCAGGAGTTCAGATTTCAGAATCTCTTTTTATTTTTGGCCTTAAATTATTAGGGCTTGAGACATAACCTGCTAGAATGTTTTGTGTGTCATCTTGATTTGGAGAGGCCTTACATTCTTGGAAGGGCCTTTAAAGTGGTTTTTTTAGATTGAAGGACTAATTTAATTTAATTTCCAGTGAGGTGTTTTTCAACACCTGCAAGTTCTTGCCCTGTTGCCTGTTCCCTTTCATTTCTCTTACACTAATAAAAGTGTACTTAGAGTTTGTGAATTCCCCAAGTTGTGTGTGGTTGAGTTTCTGCTGGAAAACCACCGTAGGTGGGAGGTGCAGCTGTGAAGGCACATGGTGTCCATAAGGACAGAACTGTGCCATCAATCCTTATTTCCCTGAGGTCTTCATTATTATCCCTGGATTATAATGGGACAAGTGTGGAATTTGATTGTAGAGGTGGAAAAAAGCATCTCCTGTTTGTTCTCCGCATTATCCTAAAGGATCTGCCATTTCCTGTTGAGGATCTTCTTTCTCCATGTGTTTCCTGATGGCTCTGGACACCTTTCTCTCTCCTGATCTGTGCAGTCAGTAGATCTCAGTCTCTTCTTTTTTTTCCTCTCTTTGCTCCTTCCTCCTGCTTGCTGACTGAGGTTGTTACAGGTCACACCTTTCAGACCTTGACTTTCTTCCAAACCCATCTTCCTATCTTGACTTTGCTGCTACCTATGGACTCTGCCAGCCCCCCATGCCCTTTTATTTGGGGGTTTTGTCTTTGCTGACTCCAGCATGCCTCTGGAATGGCTGAGGAGCATTTCCGTGGGAGACACAGTGCATCCTGAAATGGGACATGGAAAAATCCCATTGAGAGTGACACTGACCTGTTGGTGCAGGTTTCAAGCAGATATTGGAGAAATCCTGGCAGCTGAGAACTGAGGGAGGGATTTAGGGAGACCAGAGGCTCGTTAGATGTGTCAAGGCTCTTTAAAGCCTCGTTTTGTCTTTCTTGAACATGTGGAAAACAAACCAGGCTGCAGCACTCCCTCTCTGTCAGGAGAAGAAAGCAGCAAGACAAAATCTGTTGTTGGAATTTCCCTCCAGCAGCACTTCCATCCCTCCCACCCCAGGGCAGTTGAGGTGAGCCATGGCCATGCTTGAGGGGACTCATCCCAGGGGACACGGGTGTCCCAGAGCTGGGCACTCTGCTTTGTTCCCTGCAGCTCCACCCACCCCCTCAGCCAAAAATGACATCTTTCACCAACTGCTAAAGTCTCCTGCTTCTGCTTTAATGTTAATTTTGGGATTTTTCAACTGGACTCTGAGCTACCTCATGCAGGAATCTGCGTGGCAGCCCCGAGGTCCAGCCCCATCTGGGTGACAGAGTTTGTTTCCTTTGGCAATATGGATTTAACAACCGGGCTTCCAGCTCTGGGAATCATTTCCCTCAAATAGCTGCAAAATAAATGATGGGACATTTTCCAGTGCAGTGCTGCAACCACCCAAAACACCACTGTAAAATTCACAGAGGCCAGGCAGAGTGAGTGCATTAAGCAAGGCTTAGGGGGATTATGGAATTAAATTGGGAGTCCCTTCCACCCTTCCCCCAGTCAAAGACATTCGAAAATAAATATTAAAAAAGGGTGTTAAAACAATGGCTTTGGCTAAAACCTCTGCAAGTAAAGAACCTCGTTGTGGAGGCTGTTGCTGTGGACTGGTGTGTTCAGGGTGTGTTCCAGAGGTTTTCCATCGGGGAGCCGGGGTAATCTCAGGAACACCCAGCGGCCGTAGCTGGAACGCTCCCACAATGGCTCTGCTTCCCAAATTCCCTCTGCAGAGGAGAAGTGCACCAGCCCCTCGTACAGCACAGGACTTTGCCTCCTCTCCTCTGGACCCTGCTGCTGCCTTTGGCATTCCATATCCTCTGCCTGCAATTCCCAGCTCTGTCCTTTTCCCGGCAGCAGGAGCATCCTGCTCCTTTCAGGGAGAGTTTGTGCAATGAAAGCTTTGCTTTAATCTGGGCTGGATTTAGCCAGATGCTGCAATCCTGGGAAGGCTTATACAGGGCTCAGGTCTGCCATGGGAATGTGGCCTTGATTTGATAATCTGGGAATGGTTTATTTAAAATTAAAGACATAGAAAACCTTTAAAACAGCTTTTTTTTGAGCTCCTTTTGACCTTGCAGTAGAACAGGCACCCAGGCTCTCGGTCACATATAGGGCCTGGCACCCATGAAATAGGTTTTAGGCTAATGAGGCACACTCTGCCTGCTTTAATTAAATGAATTAGAGCCAAAAAAAGCGCATTTCCCATTAGAAGTCTTTAGCATCATAATAACACAATTTACATATTTAAGATAAAAATACATAAAATTAAATATTAATTTCCAATACACTTACAGAGCCTATTTGACCCAAATGACCCCACAAATATTCTCTTACCAGGGAACCCCTTCTCTTTGCATCTTTATTAACATAATTACAGGCCTTTGTATTTAAAATCTTTATTTTAGTGCAGTTCTCTTGGTAATAAAATAAATCCATGAGACACCTGTGCAGCAAGAAATTGGATTTAAAGAGATTTTAAGTTTTTGGGGGCAAACACGGTTTGTTCTTGGTGTGTCAGGGCCTGGGGTAGATGAGCACGATGACACCAGAGGCAGCTGAGTGTATTAATTAGTGCTAATTAATAAAGCTACCAGGTTATCTTTGACCTTCTCACAGCTCACTGCACGGGCTGAGGAGGAAGGATAAGGAATGAGCAGAGGAAAACCCTTTTGGTCAGAGTTTTTCCATGCCTGCTTCTTTCTCTGACTCTTCCTGTGTCCCCCTCCCTTAGCAGGGAGTGGTGACACCTCCTCCTGCAGTCTGGACTTGCAGGGAATCCTGCAGCCCCTGGGAAGCTGCTGGCTGGGAAGGGGCTGGGGATGCTGACTGCTTGTGACAAGTCTTGCCTGGGAGAAAACCAACACGGCAGCGGTTGGAAACCTGAATGATGTCACTATGGCAACAAAATAACTCACCTTAAAATAAAATGTGCATTGGAAGCAACCTCATGTGCTCAGGGAATACAAGGCGGAAGCTCCTATTTTTTAAATATATATATTTTTATGTTTATGCATTTTTTAATATTTTTTCAGCTTCATGAATTCTTGCCCTGATACAGATATGAGAAATATTTTAATTTCTCTCACAATGATATGAAAAAGAACATGACCAGACCTCCAGAAGAAGGAAAAATGTGTTTGCTGGAGGGCAGGAAGACCCTGGAGCTGCTGATAACTACAAGTCTTTCTGATGGATGTGAGATCCAGACTATCAATGTCTGCAGCTCACAGCAGTGATTTGGGACTAATTATTGCTAATATTTTTCATGGACATAGTCCATCCCTTTCCAAACTCCATTTCCATATTTGTTCATTCCAGACAGGTTTGTTTTCCTCTTGTTTCTGCATTAAATAACAGCAACAGGTGGAAATTAGGATATTTCTCTGGAAATCCCAAACTCTCCTTGGCTCTTTTCATCCCATGAGCATCCCAGCCAGGTGGAAACTGTGGTGATTCAGCCACAGCACTGCTGGTGAGATGTTCCCAAGTTTTCTCATAATCTTGGATGCTTTTTAGAAGGGAGTGAGTGACTTTGACCAGCTCAGTGTGAGGGAAGCCAGGGTGGCAAGTGCAGTGGTGGGGGTGAGCTGTGCTGAGCTGCAGCAGCCCTGGCAGCAAAGAGGAGTTGTCCTGTTGGGATTTTCTCCTGCTTACCAAAGACAAAGAGCATTTATGGGATGAAGCATAAGGCCATGGAAAGCCCAGCACCCCTGATCTGGTTCTGCAGCAACCCTTGACTAATCCAGAGTAAAAATAGAAACACAAATTGTCCAGTGTTTCACTGGGAAGCAGAAATCCAGCAACGCTGGAGTTTGAATCATCCAGATGCTGCACTGCAAGAGGGGGACGTTGCTGTGGAAATCCCACTGATCCCAGGGACTGGGATCATGGTACAGGTGGGGAGATGCTCCCAGTGCTCCATGGGCAGGGCAGGGCTGGAGCTTGGAGCTATTTTAGGCTGAGCAGAGGCAGCCTGTGCTCACCCAGCCAGTGTGTGCTGGGGACAGAGCATCTGCCTGGGAATGGGCAAAGAACTGCCACAGGTTCCACAGCCACAGGTTTTCCCGTGGTTTCTGCAAAGTTCAGCCCATTTATAAAAGCCATGGAAAGCCCAGCACATCCCAGCAGAAATCGCCAGCAACCGCAGCTGCAAGAGCAGCTCTGGACTTCCAATTCTTGCAGTGCAAAAATAAATGCATTTACAGAATAACTGTATTTTATATAATATCTTACATAATGTATAATTCTGTATTGTAATTATATCATAATTTTCCTCCCTATATCCCATTTCTGAGAGCTTTGCACCCAGTTCGATGGCAGAGAAAATAATTTATTTCCAACTGATTCTTCTATGGG